TAAATAAGTCCTAGATGATTCCAATTGCTTTGATTTTATTTTTTTTTTTATCTTGTTGCCTTCTTGCTCCATTATATTTTCTTTCCTGTTACATGCAACGCACACTGTTAGCTATTAAAAACAAATAGCAATTTGGTTTTAGAAAAGAACATTGATAGTTGACCGTAGGCAGATTGGACTGAGCTGTTAATTAATAAATTTCAATACATTAGATAGTGTAAATCTTTCCATTTGTAGTTTGTACCTCATAATAAAAAAGTTACAATGCTCAGGAATCACAGATCTGTGAGAAAACCTTTTAAGGAGAGCTTGGCTTAGAACAAAAAATTCGTTTACAAGACTTAAGACTCTCAGAGAAAAACAATAAAGAAGGACGGGGAATATCTGATACGTACTGGAAGAAAAAGTTAGAGAACACATGCTTTCTCTTCTGTGTTCCATCTACTGCTACAAACTCACAGGGATAAAGTGAAGGCCAGGAAACAATAGAAAAGTCAAGAAATACCTGCATATGGATGCCTGCCTCTCACTCTGTCACTCTGCTCCTGATTCCTAGGCTGTACGAATCACAACACTGTACTGTTTGGCATTGGCCTTTCCATTGGAGAGGTCCTTCAGATTCAACTTCCATCTAAATCATCTTTGGGTGATTAAAGAGCTACAACTACAGTATTAAAACCATCCCTTCTCAACTTACACATCTTTAAGACGATCTTTAAAAAAACATGCCTTCAATCATCTGTTTGAGAAGAAGCAATTTGCTACATAGTCAGGCCAACACAAGTCCATTCCTTGTTGCCCAGACCAGATTCATTTTTTCAGTTGCATTTGAGTCAGATTTTTTGATAGGCCATTTATCTGAAATCATCTGAAATACTCTTGACTGGTGTTTCAGATAAAAACTACGTCTTACATTGAGAGAAACTTAGTATTCAGTGTCTGGACTATCTGACAGGTATTGTGCTTTACTAAGAAACTCAGAATCTTCTGGTTTTTGAACGTGTTTCCAATAAAGCCTCAAAAATTAGCAAATGAATTGACAAATCCACTGTGCACAATGAAACAATGTGCAGGCAATTCTGAGGTTATGTACTACCCAAGGACTCCAAAAGAGGCTCAGTCACTGAAACATTAAAATTTAATAGGTTCAGAAAAGAAAACTGAAAGAGTTTTACAAAACTGCTTTTATAGAGTGCTGCCCACCAGCGTTCAACTTTCTTTAAGCACTGTCCAGCTTCGAGGAATAAAAGCACTCAGGTAAATCAATTTTGCCTCTTTGCCCTGTCTTGGAATACAGTTGATGGTGAATGATAAGGCACATCCACGCACGGGCAAACACAGAAGTATGGAAACAATACTGACAGCAAAAAACTGTGATTTGAAAGTTGCAGTAATATTGGAAAATTATTTCAATATTATGAGAATTATACAAGCACTTGATAAAGATTGACTGCATTGATTCTCCTCACTCTGTACTACAAATGTCAAAAAGATCAATGCAATTCACAAACATCTACGAAATAAACTAGAGGATGCAGAAATATTTAAGGAATAGTCACTCTTGCTTTTACAGACACAGTAACTGCAGCATCGTAATGGCTAGAATTGCACCCAGAAGGCAATGCTACACTCTAAATATTGATAGAGCTTCAATGCCTAGCATGACTTCAAATTTTTCATAAGCTGAAGGGACAACTAACGGAAGGTTTTTTGCACAGCTTTAAACTTCGTACTGTTATCAGTGTAAAGATACTAAATATGCTAATGAATTAATTCGCTACAGAATAGATTAATAGCTACTGGCTCTGTTTTTCAAAAAAGCATCATACAATGTACACAAAGAACAACATCTGAAATTGCTTTTGATTTACTCAAGATTTGAAGGCATGCAGGTACACTACCAAAGCCAAAAGACACCAGCACATGAGTCCAGCATCACACAGCTTCCCCTGATGGCATGAGTACACAAGGCCCATGCTTGCCTTTTTACAATAGCTACCAAAGCTGCAACAGCAATGGCAGGAAAAAGAAAAGCTTTACAGATACACAGGGAACCTTTCTGATTTTTTCTAGCTCAAACTCACGGCTGCTTTTGAATCTCCATCTGCTTTTACAACACTCTGTTTCACAATACTCTATCTCCCACTGTCAATCCTTGAAAGAAGCCTTTCAAAGATCAATCCAGCCTGTTAGAATTCTGGATGCTAAAACTGAATTTTTCTTGTCTTCTTGTTCTTTTGAAAGGCTTAAAAGTGATTTGCAGCAATCAAGCATAAAGGAGTTTGTTATCTAGAGGCGATTCATTGGGGAAAATTGCATAAATTATAAATTAAAAGGTGACCAGAGCATTTTCCCTCTCTTCTGAAAACAAAATGCATTCTTCTAGATGTGAAAATCAATCTAAAAGCTCCTAACAAGTAGTCAATAAAAGGCCTAAAAACGTGCAATTTTAACACTAACACTCTGTAAAAGTAATCATAAGAAAGGATGAAAAGGCAAGCATTACAACAAGTGACAAACAATCTGTTGACCTTATTCACACAAACCCCAGAAATACAGCTGTGAAAGTTTCCTCAAATAAAATTCTGGAGACTTGGCTGAAATGCCATTATAGATCTCTGTGTGGAAATTACGTCTTTTTCTCCCTCCCTTTTGCCTTACTGTTCTTTCCTTCCCAGTTTGCTCTCACAAATTGTTTCCCTGCAATTCGCCTTTGTTCAACTCCCTTCAGCAAGAGGGCACAGCCAGAGGGACCTTGCTGAGTCTCTGGCCAGCGCAGAGGGAGAAATTGAAAAAAAGACAGTGCAGCTTCTGGAGCTGCGCCGCCAGCTCCTCTGGCAACAGAGGGTCAGTGGTAAAGCAGGAGGAGCCCTGCTGAAGGTATAACAACTTACTGCATTCCTTACACATTCGTCAAAAAAAAAACCAAAACAAAATCAAGGGTTGTGTGCATAGCGCAACGCAGATACAAACCAGCAGGAACAACAGACTTGTGTTCCTGATGGTATAAACTAAATATATATTCTACTGCTGCTACTTTGAAGGACCTTGCTTCAAATCCCAGACAATCCTAGCACCCAAGTCAATGTTATTGCCTTTGAATAAAAGCAACAAAAGGCAACTACTTCATTTCAAGGGTGTTGGAAATTCATTTGCCAGGTATTACCAGGAAAAAGCTTTTATCTACTTAAAACTACAGGAAAAACAAAATTCACATTTATGACGTTGCTTCAGCCTCATATATCCATCTGCTCATTTACTTGATAAGTCTTCTGCAGGCTTCCTGGCTTCTCACCATTCTTTTGTGATGCTAATTTACTGTTACCTGCCTGCATAACTAATGTGTTGATCATCGCAGTTTTCAAATCACTTATGTAATACAGAAGCATGTAAAGTCCCTTGCATTTCAGTCTGCAAAATCCTTCTACACTTCACTTCTACATTAACAAATTGGTTTGTCAAATGTCTGGTTTTTTTTCTCCCTTTTTTTAAAAAAAAATTATTATTATTATTTTTTTTAAATCAGATCTATATCTGCTAAGTTTTTCCAGTCTATCTTTCAGTGGTGGTCTACATAATAATTTATGGTCTACATAATAATTTCACATAACTAATTTGCTTGTATCTGACAGTGTACTCTAACACTCTATCAAACGTATCGGAGACATTTTAAAAAAACATATTTGAAATGCCAACACAAATGGAACTTAACACAGAAAACTCAAATTTTTCATTCATGATAAAACATGCAGTTATGAAAAGCTGCACACAGGAGTCATTCACTCACTGAAGTACTGCAGAGACTAAGGGACATATGCAAGCTAATGATACATACAAAATGATACCTCAGTTAAATACATCACACTGCACTAGCAACTTGCAAACCAATGCTTTTTCAGCACTCTGCTCAATTACTTGATATAAAATTATGGTTTTTTTTCCTTTAGAAAATTTACCTTTGCTAAAAAACAAATGACCTTGCTTGTGTAACATAGAGATTAACCTCAACTTTAAACTCCTAATCTGAAAATCAAATTCTGAAGTCAGGAATGTTCAATTACAGTCATAAACACAATTGTTACTTAGAGACAAAATCCAACACGCAGTCACATTGTGTGTTTCACCGAAGTGCAAGAGAAAATTCAATTACTTCTTTGCAGGCTGACCAGAATATTTACTATTAGTCTTGTAGGGATGTTTGTTGGGTAGGACTGGAGTAAACTCTTACAGAATATACAGTGCAACACTCATTAATGCCAGTAATGAAACAGTTTCTTTAGAGAAGATAGCACAAGGATTCAATCTGTGATCAAAACTTGCTTGCTTGGTGGTTTTCTTTTTTTTTTTTTTTTTCAGTTACAAGATTCAGATGAACAAAAATCTTTACATCTTTTGATTACTCATTCCTTACCACATCAGTATTAATTGCATCTCTGCCATTTAGAATGAAACAAACATGGAGTTTTTGTTTGCTTTCCACAACAAAGATTTGTATCAGATGTTATTGGCAACCACCATGAATCAAAAACTGCATTTTTTCTTTTATTTTTAATAACATGACATAATAAGAACTGCCATCTCTAACAAAAGCTTAGTTTTCCCAGTTTTCCTAAATTTTATACAAATGTTTTAGTGAGCATATAAACATTTCAGAAATATTCTAAAAACAAAAAATAACTCTTTTTTTGTATACAGTCATAGAACACTGTTAAAATTTTAAGCTTCATGAAAGCCTAAGGCTTTGTTAAAATGATGGCTCTTTTCCCTGGTCAAATTCTTCAGCCAGTGGAGTGGCACTCTGCAGAGTTTCACATATAAATCTCAGAAACTGTTCATTAGTGCTAAAATACAGTCCTTGCATGCAGAAGTGAATCATAGCTGGCACAGTGCTAAATCAGGAGTGGGGCCTATCATGCATTTGCAACTGGCTTTGGCCAATTTTGCAGTTCCTGGTTCAGCTCAGCTCAAAAAGCAGGGGATAAGCAATAATCTTCACATACCTTCTCATACAATCCAGTGCTCGAATAAAGAAGTCTTTGTGAAGCTGATGCTCATCCCTCAAGATGGAGCACTGCTCCAATGTCACTGACATGGATGTCCGGTCTTTGGCACTTTTGCAACAGGTGAAGCGGATTCCATTCAGCTTACGGCAAATCTGAAACACAGGCAGATGTCAGAGGGCTGCTGTTTTCACACTTCATTCTCTGCACCTTAGCAGACCTGGAAAATCTCACACTTTACAATCAATTATATTAGGAGAATAAGGCAAGGCTATATATCATTTAGGCTCAAGCCCAATCAACTTTTCAGCTTGGCTACAGAGTGTTTACTTGGCATCAGGACGAAACTAGATCTTCAGTTCCAAAACTTCTGAATCTTCAGAACCTCACTTCAGTAAAGCACATTTTATTCACAGTAATGGCATTCCCAGAAATTCTATTGAAAACAATGACCCAGACAACACTTACGTGGTCTTTAGGGTCTCTGTACCATTATGGCGAGGGACATCTCAGAAGTTGAGCCCAGGGAATTAACTGAGCCCAACTTTGAACCCTATGAAGTACACGTTAGTAAAGCAGAATCTATGAGTGTTTCTTCTCTTCTACACATCCAAATTTTAGAACTTACATCTATTAGCTATGTGGGAAGTGGCACGGGGATTTAAATTATGTATTAAAAGACAATTATTATTTTGAGAAAGTATCAAGTAGGGTTGATAACGCTGTGAAGAAGATAACTGCTTAACTGAGAAGATTAATTCTCTTTACACTTCCCTCTTTTGAAGTTCATGAGTCATAGTGACTATTTGAAGTGAATGAGTCATAAGCAAAAAGCAGGTAATTACTCTGGATGGGCGATGACCTCCGCAGCACAGATGGGAGACTAAGTCCCAAATCTGAGCTGACAGCATCTGACTGAAGTGCTGGCAACAGAGTCAGTTTTGAATTGAGAAGTCTTTCAGGGAAAACAAGCAAATGGGTAACCACAAATGGGAGGGCTTATTTTGCCTATTAATTCAGTAGAAATGGCTCAATCATGTTAAAGTGGTTTAAATGGAAATCAATCCACTACATTCAGTAATAAAAAAAAAAATCCTTAGCTTATGATCTAAGAGAAATCTAGGTTAACCTGGTAGGCTGGCACAAATAAATCCTCAGAAATAACTCAGTTCACTAAGCAGGAACAGCAAAAGAAAATAATTAAAATGGGCAAACAGTGATCAGATGGCCAAGAAATCTAGCAAGGTATGAAACCTGATCTATGGTAACATCATAATATCTGAATCAACAACAGCTTACAGTACGTGTCCAGCTTGACTTTTATCCTCACTTTTGCTCAATTGATTCCCAAAATATATTGGTGATATAGGACAGGTATATTTCTTCTAAACGACCTCTAAGCAGTGTTCCAAAGAAACTTCAATTTAAATGATTAGGACTGTGCTTAATTTTCAAGAGGATGCAAACCAATGAAAAAGCACATAAAACAGTGGGGAGTAAAACGAGGAAAAATCCATATTCCAATTATTTCCTCCTGAAATAAAACAGAAGATTAAGCGTCCAGCTTAGGAAGTAAAAACACACCACATTTAAATCTCTTCTGCTACGTTTATTTAGAGTAAGAAATATTTGTGATATCAGTTCCTAGATTTTTTTTTTTTTTTTAAGCAGATGTGTTCTCACAAGACTACTTGCAGGCGCAGTTACGGATAAGCGTATCCACATAGAATCTCATTTATCTACTGTTGTAACAGTCATGTCCCTACAGCTGAGAATCTGTTCTTCCACCACACTGTGATACAGTACAGCAGTGCGTATAGAAGAGGGTCCAGAAACACCCATTTCAGAAGCTTACAGTAAAGTAGCTTGGGAAAAATATTATATTCTGAAGGAAAAAAAAATAGAAACTTTTATTTTAAATGTCCTAAAAACTTCTTTTTGCCCACAACATGATTTTCAAGAAATCCTGCATAGATAGTAGGAGACAACTTTCTGTATCCAAAGATTAAGTAAATTCTATCATCCTCTTTGTAGCTGACTTCACATTATTCTGTACAGATTAATCTTATCTTTGCAAAGCAACGTTTCATAGTAATTGCAGAAAAGATAGTGGGGAAAAAAAAAAAAAAGCTTACATTTTTACTTACAAAAGATTCATACTTCAATACTATGTGATAATACTTATTATCCAAAATGAAAATTTTATTAGCAATCTAAAAAATAATTCTGGTATTATTAACAAAAACATAATTAATATTCTTTGTGTTAATGAGAAGTCGTGCAAAATTTTATTAATATTTTACATCAAATATTTATCTACCTTAAAGGGCATATGCATTTGAAAGCTCCCCAAAACACAAGGTCTTGCTTTTCACTTTCAACAGATAGCAAAGGCTCAAGACTCTGCCAGCAAGGGTACATTTCTGCATTTAAGGCAATTACCTAATTGATTTTCACGCTTTCCTTAAGTCTGAGCTCTTTATAAACGCTTATCTGCTTCAGTTTGTTTTTAACCTGCATGTGCAAAACGTACGTTGGAGAAGAGAAAGTTGAGACGGAATTTCTAAACTGTGTAAATATCTTAAGTGTGGGGGTTAAGAGAATGGGGCCAGGCTCTTCTTGCCCATGCCCAGCAACAGAACGAGGCACCAACTGGAAAGCAAAAACTTCCCTCGACTTGCTGACCACACTTCTTTTGATGCAGCCCAGGATAGAGTTGGCTTTCTGGCCTGATGATATGCTGCTAGCTCACGTCCAGCTTGCCATCCACCAGTACTTGCAGGTCTTTGTCAGCAGGGCTGCTCTCAACCCTTTCATCCCCCTGCTTATATTAGTAATGGGGTTTGCCTAGACCCACATGCAAGACCTTGCATTTGGATTTGCTGAACCTCATGAGATTCACCTGGGCTTACTGATTAGCCTATCTGGATGGCATCCAGTCTCTCCTGTATGTTGGCTGCACCCCTCAGCTTGGTGTCATCAGCAAACTCACTGAGGGTGCACTCAATCCCACTGTCAATGTGACTGATCAAGACAGTAAGGAGCACCCAGTCCCAGCCCTGACTCTTGGGGGACACCATTCACCACTGCTCTCCATCTAGATATGGAGCCATCGACCACCACTCAATCCCACAACCAGTTCTTCATTCACTGAACAGTCCACCCACCAAATCCATAACTTTCCAGTGTGGAGAGAAGGTTCTGTTGTGCAGTACCATGTTAAAGGCCGGCAATGCTTCTCACTGAGAAAAATACAAATTCCTCCACTGGAGTGAAACAGCCCCATGCAGCTGCACAGGCGAGGGGCTGCCTGACCAGGAGAAGCTGTGCAGGAAAGAACCTGGGAGATGCCAGCAACATGACCAAAATCACTTTTGTCTTTGAACTCAGGCTAATTCATTACAGACAGAAAGAATCTGTCTGTAATGTAAATGCAAGAAGAAGAGAGATAATAATAAATGGGATGCGAGATCAACAGAACAGAACAGTTAGAGAACCATTATAGCTACCTAGTCTGAGTTTTCCATCCAGGCTCTTGAAATCCATTTCACTTACCAAAAAGCATATGAAAATTAATTAATACATCATGTGAATATATTTGAAAAAGAAAAATATCTGAAGAAATATATTCAATGTATTTGTTAAAAAAAAAAATAATACATAAATAAAAAAAAAGATCTCACCGTTGCAGCCAGCCACATGATTTCTACGTTCTTCCTCTTTTTGGCCTGGATATTTTGATGAAGATTTTCTAGCAATCCTTTTAAATCATTTTGCTCTTGAAAATGTGGTAGACCTGAAAAAAATTAACAACAAAAAAGCAGCATAAGTTTGATCATAATGGCAAAATGGCAAGGTTGATGGCAGTGTTGTGCTAACTAAATGAAATTTTTTTTGAGGAGGTCTATCATTTACAGCCTTTTTTTGAGAAAGTAGGATGGAAGAAACTGGCTAAATCCTTAGAGAATTAAAAAAGTCTTTTCCTGTGTAGTAGGTTGTCCTACCTAAGGGCTTCACACTGGAAAATTAAAATAACTCCAACTTCCATCTTATAAATAGCAGGATTCAAATATTTGTTGTAGTTCGGTTCATCAGCCACTACAAACATTCATGGGAAATGAGCAGAGAAATAAAGGGAATGGTATTTACAGCTGCTTTGATGTGATGATTATTTTGGGATCAAAATATTTACTGTTGTTTTCAAAAGGATGAATTTCATTTTGGTTTTTTAAATGATGCTTTACTTTCTAAAGTAACAAATGTACAGGCAGGTTAACCAGGTTAACCAACATTAAACATCCCCCAAAATGTTACTGAGGATATTCAACAGCCTATCGGGAAATGAACTTTGATTTTCAAGTACAAAACAATTTCAGGCTAACTTTATATCTGAAGTCTTACCTACTTGCCCTGGCTGTGATAGAAAGACTGAAGTTTTATTAACTGTACACACCCAGAGGGAATTCAGAAGTGGACAATTCAATTTCCTCTTTAGTTTTGTGAACACAAAAGGATTTTTCATCTTACCATTATCTTAATTAGTTTTGAAAACAACCAAAACCTGTTTTTCTAAATGATTTTTCTTCTGATAGGGAAGCGGAAAAAAACATCTCCAAAGTCTTAAAAACAGCTGAAATAAGATTTTAACTAAATCTATTAAAACAGCAGTTTTTTCTGCAAATAGATACACTGATTTTTGTTGGTTTTTTTTTTTCCTCCATCAAGAAAAAAAGAAAAAAAGGATGATCCATCCAAGAGGAAAAAGCAAAACAAAAAACACCTATACTTCCTATTCAATTTCAGAGTATAAACGATGTCACTACAGTAACGTAGGTCAAAATCCATTCTCCTAAGCTGTTCACAGCTGGAAGGATACCTCTTATCATCTGGCTTTTACTTTTTATCTCTAATAAATTCCAGACCTCTTTACCTGTGATTCTTAGTCAGAGATAATTTAAATAAACACAAACATGTTCTAGAACAGCTACATTTTCTTATTCATATTGCCTAACACCCCACCTCCCTACCACAGTCCCACTCCACTCCCCCCCCCCCAAAAAAAAAAATCAACATTAAAAAACAAAAATGACAACAACAACACACCACACAGGAAAAATACATTGAAATCTGCTTTGTGAGTATCTTACTGAGGATTGTGTGACCTGAGCATTAGAATTCCTGACCATACAATTAGATAACGCAGAGCATTTAAACATACATCACAACCTGGTCAACTATTATACTTATCCTGCATCTGTTCCTTGAAAATAGATAGCATACAGACAGTGCTCTAGAAAGATGCTTCCAAATTATGGGAATATATCACTAGGTAAACATTTTATTGTATCAAAATACTTTTCCTTTGGCTCACAGCAGAAAATCCATCATTTCAGACAGGTGACTTCACAATAGGTAAACCAATATTATCCTAATTTATAATATTGCCAAGCAACTTGTATCTTGACTGGATGTGACTGATAGCTTAAACTCCTTGTATCACAAAGCAGTATTAAACTGTCAAATCATTCTCATAGATCATAAGGGGGAGAAGCCTGGAAGTGCAGAACAGACTCTTAGACAGCGCTGTTGACATATGTAGTAGTACTACATACATTATGAAGCTATGGAAGAAAATCTTTATTGGCTTGTGTGATTTCAAAGCCTTGCTACATTCCTTTCCACACAAGGGATGCATCTTGCAACAGTGATGTTGCTGTGGGTGCTAGGTAGTGATAAATCAGAGATAGCAAATATCACTTGTGAGACAGCTTGACGCTCTTAGCTGCTTAATTGAGTTCTAAGGTACTCTTTGCAATAACATACGTCCTACTAAACAGCAATCATATTTCTGTACTCTATCATTAACTTTTTACAGCTATTTTGGTGTCTAAAACAATTTAATTGGTCGGCATTTCTGGTAAGGATCTTTCTTGGGGCATATTGTAACTTATTGGGTTTGCAATATCCTGTTGGGAGAGGAATCAAGTGACAGGGGAATGGAAGACTAGCAGTGTGTGTACTCATCTAAAGTTAGGAAGGAAGTCAACGTTTGGTATACGCAGGCATGAACAATTAATTTTTTTTTTGTAATGAGGAACAGAGAGAAGGCTTGAAAACACAATGAAAAGCTCTGCAGTGAGAGAAAAACTAATAGCAAAGACAGCAATACCTTCGTGGGAGGGCAAAGCTTTCTTCTTTGACGCGAAATATGCAAAGTGAGGATGTCTAAGGATGGTGGATCCAACTGCCTGCCAGCAGAACTGAGAGTCCTCAAATTGGTCTCGTTTTATGGGTTTTATGAGCACAATTTGTAACTAACAGCTTTGTGAAATGGGTCACACGTTTATTTTGTAGCACAGGTCTGGCACTACAGGAAACAATTTGGAAAGGTGCGACAAAGCCATCAATGCCAAATGGCTCTCACTTGACTCCACAGCCAGGGCTGCTGCCAGCTTGTGTGGAAGTGCATCTCCTTAAGAGCTGCAGCAAAGAGGTGCAGAAAAGGGGAAAGAAATGAAGTACTCCTCTGGGTGAACACCTCGGAGGGCTTCAGTTGCACTTTTCCCCCTCTCCCTTAACAAAAAAGCAAAATAAAAATTAACTAACAGAGAGATAGGGATAATGAAGGAAGGGGCTGGTTTGAAAGGCACCTTCCTCCAAGCTGCGTTACATTGTTAAGCTTGATAGTGTATGCTGATGGATACCTCGCCCTTGAAGTTTGCTTAGATAACAGGAAGAGCTGTACAGTATCAATACCATGTAATTGTACAGAGCAACCAGGAAGAGCAGTGGAACCAGAAGGTAATTCATGTTATGTAAAAACTGGCACAACAGCCAGACTCAGCTCTCTGAGGCAGAGAAAATGCAGGAAGGCAATAAAAACCAGAAAAGACAGGATGAGCTAGACAAGCATAGTTCTTACAAGTCTGCACAGTCTGAAAGAAGTCCAGGAAGACGGCGCAGCACGCCAATAACCATTCTGGAGGAAGGCAGTACAAGATTAGTTCTTGTCAATGAAAAGGACCAAATACTACCTGCATGTAAATTTCTGCTTCTACGTAATCAGATTCATTTAGAAAGCAGCAGATATACATTTGACCTAATTCCCGATGAGGTTAGTTTTTCGGAACTTTTATTGGGAAGATTCCCCCAAACAAACCTCTAACTTACTACATAAGACTTTCGGTAGAAAAGATAAATATCAGAGATGTGAGTGGATCAATTGTCATACTGCATACGCCTAAGAAACACAGCTTGTTAAAATTATTAACAAATAGAATCTACTGAGATGAAACATAGGCACATATACATACATATGCAGCACCACATTTGGTAGAACTACGAGCACATACACAAAATGGAAATCAGCACACATAACCAATACATGTAAGAGAGCACAAGCTTTGCATAGTATTCCCCACAAGGAATTACAAATGCCCCCTAGCACAACAGCAGTTTAGATTCAGAGATAGTTACCAAAGAGTAAGGGGCAGAAACCTAAATACAAGCTGTTTAAAAAGAGGCTATACAATTTGCAACTTAGGGAAATGTAATTTAGCCATTAAGACTGGTTTAAGAGGATTATAAGGATGCAAAAGGTCCTTGTGTTTGCTTTCAGGAAAGTAAGAGAACAGTATGCCTATAATACCACTTACCCATAATATTTGAATAAAGGGCCTATTCTAATAGAATCACACTAGTAACATAAATGACACTGTTAAGTTATTCATTGCTTATATCTATACATTTCTCAGTGTTGTTTGCCATACCTTAATATGAGGGCTGCTCCAGAAGTAATGCCTCCTATTTTATTTTGTTGGCCCACAACATCAGAGGCAGATGGTGGAGATATGGTAGTAGAGGCTGAACCTTCCCACCAATATTCTGTTCCATGTTGCAGCTGTGCTGAGGGGCACTCTGACAAAATGGCATCTGACATAAAAGCGAGCATGAAGCAAACGAGTGTCACTGAATTCCTCCATGTGGAAGAAATGGCACCCACTCACATTCATCAACACATCAACATTTATGAAGACCTAACAGGAGATATGAGCACAGAGAAGCAGTGGGTGGTGCATTTAAGCAGTGGCCACAGTATCAGTGGCTGGCGCAGGTTTTTAGAGCGCAGCATGCAGGCTCTTGTTCACAGCCAGCAAAAATTCATAGCTAATGGTGGCAACTATATTGAAAAATAGCATTTTGTAGCTTAGAATTTGCTCTATCAAACAGTGCTATTGTACTCTTTGTATCTGTTGTCATTTCCATAGAAATAGGAGGCATTACTTTCGGAGCAACCTATGCACATACTCAGAAAGAAAGGTGGAGGGAATAAGTAAAACTGATGAAAATTCCCAAGGAGTACATCTGTACAAATATAGTAAGTACGGCCTGTCCTCTATTTAAATTATTAAAGAACATATCATATTAATAATTTAAAGGAGCTGTCTGGTTCACCACTACTGCATTTCACTCTCCCTGCCATTTCTGCTATGGCCTTGAGCTCAAACAGGCTCCAACTGCTTAATCTTATGGAATAAATTATAGGACTTAAGCCTAAACCTAAAATCTGCATATTAATACTGCATTCAAAATACTTCCTTACAAATTTTCATCTATAAAGCCTTTTAAAAGCTATCTGGATATTGTATTATGTTGTACTCACAATCAGGAGGCATTTTTTCCGTAAACAGGTTGTAATATTCTTTTAGAAGTTCTAAGTTTTCTTGGTTAATGTTTTCTTGTAAAGTGGTATCTCCAAACCTATAAAATCAAAGTAAATGATGAAAAATGTGAAACACATGGCCATTAATCCATCAGAACGTTTAAATTGTATGAAGAACTTGAATTTCCTTTTCCAGTGTTGAATGTATTAAACTTGGTCAAACATACAATTATTCATCTTCCAAGTGATTTAGAAGTAATATTCAGGAATGAGGTAACCATCCACAGAAACTTTTTCCAAACCATATGGACAGAATAATTAATTTACAGACAACGATTCAATAAAGCACAAGTTTCCACTTCCTTCACAAACCCTGAATAAATGCAAGGGCTCTCTGTGGGAATTTCAAATGGCACTTGGGCAGAGTACAACTACTAAATCTCTTACTGCTGCTGCAGCTGCTTAGCTGCTTGATATTTGTCATGGTTGACACTGAAGCCACACACAATGAAGTGAGGCAAGTGTCATGAAAAATATTATAGAATGGCTTCACTTGGAAGGGACCTCAAGGATCACCACGTTCCAACCCTCCCTGCCATAGGCAGGGTGCCAGCTGCTACATCAAGTACCAGATTGTCCAGGGCCCCATACAGTCCGGCCATAAACATCTCCAGGAACAAGGCATCCATAACCTCTCTGGGCAACCTGTTCCAGTACCTCACCGCTTTCCAAGTGAAAAACTTCCCCCTGACACCAAATCTAAATCTTCCCTCCTTTAGTTTAAAATCTTAAAACTATTCCCCCTTGTCTCCCTCTAAATACAGGAGTGCCATAACCAGGTCTCTCCCCACACCCTTCTCCAGCCTGAACAAGTCCAGTTCCTTTAGCCTAACTTCAAAGGAGAGGTGCTCCCTCCCCAATCATCTTTGTGGCCCTCCTCTGGGTCCTCTTCAAAAGCTCTATATCTTTCCCGTTTTGGGGGCCCCAGACTTGTACACAGTACTCCAGTACTCATGAGGGCAGAGTAGATAGGGACAAACACCTCCCTCTCCCTGCTGCCCACCCCCTCTCCTGATGGAGCCTAGGATACCACTGGCTTTTCCAGGCTGTAAGAACAGATTGCTGGCTCACGTTAAACCTTTCATCAACCAAGACAAGTCTTTCTCAGCAGGGCTACTCTCAAGGAGTGCTTCTTCAACTTTGTATATATATCTGGGATTACCTTGACCCAAGTGCAAAACCTTCCACTTGGCTTTGTTGGACCTTGTAAGGCTCATAAGGGCCCACCTTCCGAGTTTATCGAACATTTCTTCCAAAACACATGCATCCTCTATTGTGCTTTATAGAAAGTAAACATGTTTACATTTAATCAATACTGCACTGCAAACAATTTATCACAAGAAGTTATTCCTGTTCTCCTATTGTGTTCCACTAAGAGTATCTTCTAACAAAAAGCATGTGCAGTGTTCCCAATTGCGGAGATGAATGTGCAGCTTCAGGAGTCGAGCAGTGATTTTGCTAATTTCTATTTCTGCCTAATTTCTGCATCTGTAACTGCATGCAGAAAACATGTTTCTGCATGGAATAATCCAACTGACAGACACTTATTAAATTTTTCATTTATGGCTTGTTTTCTTAGGGTAAAATATAAAATCACCACTGAGAATAATGCTACCACACTTCCTGTTACTTCACATTCAAGCCAGTTGACATCTTTTTTGGACTTACTCCTTGATAACTCTGCAGATTCAGGCTATTTCTACATCTTGTCAATTTTTTCTTCAGGACATTTGTAACAAAGTCCCTTCCCTGCCTGTCCCACGCTCATGAAGTCTTACAGACTTGTTTCTTGGTTACCTCATACTCCTTTTCTCTCTTTCAGAAAAATGTGAAGAATTCACTCACAATTGTTACCAAATTGATTTTGCTTTTTGTATGTCATCACTGTAGCTATCTTACTTAACTCATAAAATAGCTTTCCTACTAAAAGCTACTTCCATTTTCAAGGGTGTTTCAACTTCTCTAATTAACTTTACATCATTTTCTCTAGTAAAACATTTGCTTGTACCTCCATTTTCTGATTCAGCCTTCATCTCCCATTCAAATTTTATACCTGACTTTCCAGCATATCACAGTTCAGCCAAGTCCTCTATAAATATCCACAATGCTATCTGACTGCATTCTTTAGAAGACTTCCATAATCCCCTTTTACTCTGCTGTATACAAAAAGTATGATGTCAAACTCCTGTAGTGCTGTTTCTTGCCTATTGTCCAAGCTAACACTTTTTCACTATGCTTGTGTATTTGCTCACCTACACTTAGATAGCTTTTGGTTTGAGTTTATATTGAACACTGCCTGAAGGAACATATTTCATCCCCCATGTGCTCTGTAAAAGAATTGAGTAAAAGGAAAAAAGTAGTCATCTTCTTGTAGATGTTCATCTTGCAATTTTAGCATTGTACCACTTAGTAATTTAACGTGACCAATAGATAACAGTCTCTTGAGAGAGAAATATATATATTTCTCTCTCAAACGGGAAAACTTTGACCAAGATTGTACTGAAAAATTGCTTTCTAGCAATTCCTCCAGAGGACTAATATTAACACATTATAATTTTACCATCAGCCTTCATGTTTCTATGAACATATCATTAGCATACTCTACACTAGTAATTAAAACTTAATTCTGTTAAAAATAATCAAACTCAATAAGTTCAGAAAAGGTTCTCTTCACGGTTTATGATTTTTTTTAGTACCTTCAACTCCACCTCTAAGACACTTAGAACTCAAAATTTTTGAACTTCAGTTGACTTAAGTGCCAAAGCACTATACACAAACTTCCACATGTATCATCTAGAAATACACTTCATACCTACATCCAAGGAAAACCCAGTGCTGGCTGTGTGAAGCAGAGGCACAATGAAGTCCTGTATATGGCCTTTCATACTATTTTGCCGTTTTTTTTTTTTCCCATGGCTTGTACTACAAAGTCAAGCTGAGGTGGTCCAAGAGCAAGTAACAAAAAGTGATTTCTTTGTAATCGTGTGAGAGATGTCTCACAGAGAATACTCAGAAAATAAAAATATTTTGGCAAGCATCTTCTTACCTCTCTGCAAGTGTTTGCTGCTCATTGATTCCAACATTAAAGAGCACTGGATACATGCGAAGTAGCTTTCCTTCTTTTATCTCTTGTGGCAGCAACTCAAACATCTTTGCCGGAAGCTGGACCTCTATGACATAATGCTCACTAGGAAAAAGAAAAGGAACAATAAGAATAGGAATATTGCTTAGTTGGCTTGAAATTATAATTTTCCTAAGTCACTTTTATGTACACTTAAACAAACCTAAGCGAACTTTTAAGCATGCAAACCAGTTCCATCTTTTCCTCTTAACTGTGTTAAAACACCAAACGTTGAAGATCAGCTTGCTTGTTCTAGGAGTACTACAGGCTTATTTGGAAATAGGTAAGTATATACAGTTACATGCACTTGACATGACTTCTTCACTGAAGTGAAAAAAGGATTAGAAGTGAGATGAGCAGAAAAGTCTTCTACTACCAAAATACCAGTGAGAACACCCCAACTTTTAAAGAGAATCTTCTGAATTACAAAAAACAACTTCCTTCTGGAAGCCAGAACTTGAGATTCCTCCTGCTCACTCATAATGGTCTCGATACAGAAAAAAACCTTCATAAAATCCCAACGCAAAATTCAGAGAGGGCCAAACGATACCAAAGAGCCTTCCTACAGAGCTCACTTCAGTATGGCATCAAGAAAAAGAAATATAACAACAGCAGTGAAGGAGGATCTATAACCTACCTGAAGAAGGTAGGATTCTCACATGATGCATGCAAACTTAAGATGGAAAAGGATGGATTTTGTTCTTTTGACTTGACTTAGTGTTTTTTGTTTTTTTTTTCTAAATAACACTGTTTGCTTCTACTAAAATAATTTATCTTGAAGTCTCTCAATCAATCACGTATTTGCTGAAAAAGTCAAATAGAAATTTGAGTTCCCAGATGTAGAAGTTGGAGGGAAAAGGGGAAGGCAGAAAACTTTACAGAAAAATGACAAGCTAGATAAACAAGTGTCACAATCTCAGAGCATGTGCCCTGACCACACATCTGAGAACATCATAAACCGTGTTCAAAACAGACTTATGATTAAAAAATAATTACATGTGGAAAGGGCAACAGCACATGCTTTGATACGGTCTAGACCTACTGCACAGTCTTTGAGCAAAAGAGAGATACTCCACATTAAGGACATTGGCAGTAGCCATAAATGGAGGATATGTGACTCAGAGGTTTTCTGTTTTAAGTAATTCATCCATACGAATGATGAGTTAGCAAGGATGACAGTAAGGGACGCTGAACTTAGTACAATGGCATTCATCCTCAGCCTGCAAACTACCATTCCTAGCTGCTGTGAAGTTACTAGAACCTCCTTCCTGTGATGCAATGCTTTCAGGAGGTTGAAAAAAAAATATTCGCTTAGTTTAATTTCAAGAATGTATGTTACTGAACCATAAACATCTTATAATCATTGTTTTATGTGCATTTCACATCCTCAAAATCACTATACATCTTTCAGTGTATAACGTTCCTCAATGTTGACCTTTAGCCATGATAAATTAACACCGGTATCATTTAAGAGCCTCTTCTTACCTTAAATTAAATAAATAAATTACATCTGTTCAAATCTTAGAGATGATCCCTGGTAAAATTGCAACATCTTTAACCACTTTCATAATTAGAACAATCCTCTTTTCATCATTTAAGAAAAAGGCTATTCAACTATGAGAATAACTCCAGAAATGGCTCTGAAGTCATGTAGAAAGAAGAAATAAAACCAAACTACTGACAACTGGAGAACCTGACATTCAACTTACCAAAATTTTACAAGTTCTATGATTTTACTTATGTAAGGAGTCTAAAGCAACACATTTTAGTTTTACTTAGTTTCTTTATGACTAATTTCAGTGCAAATGTACTAAGCAGTTTTGACATGTAGTGGCCCTACTATCCATCTTGTTTTCCAATACAAAGGTGAGAAACCAAAAAACAAAACAAAAAAATAAGTAAATGGTTTTTTAACACTTAATGATCTCTCAGACAGAAAGAGAAACAAAACAAGCAATAGAAAAACCCTGCATGTTCACAAGTGTAAACAGTACATTATCATTTATTTGTCAACTAATTCTAGAAATTTAGGTATTCTGTATTTTCTTCACTTAAATGTAACTTCTTAAGAGCACCCCTTCTATTTGCCTTGTTCTCTTACATTTGTTATTATGGCAAAGGATAGATAAATACTTTCAGTCTCGATAAAAAGCTTCCCACAATTAACCCCATGCACGTGAGGGCCACGGACTGGAGTTATTTGCAGTCAGCTGCCAAAGCACACACAGCTCATTGCCATAAACACAGAACAAGTCATTTACATGCACCCTTGCTTTGCAACAGAAAAAAAAAAAGTAAATTCAGCCTCTGTATCTCAGCAGGGAGATGCTTTAACCAGCCAAGTGACAACTGTTTAGATCACTTCAATGTAGCTGCAATGTGCCAGCCTGCTCATGTGCTTCACTGAAAACACTTCTATCAAGCCCTGCAATGCCTCAAAGTTCAGGCACACAATCATATATGTGCTAACAAAGCGTTTTATGGAAGTGCTAACTAGTTTTGTCCATAAAAAAGCATGCAAGCACCTGAACTTTATTCCACCAGGATGGCTGCAGTCAGCCACCCATGCTAGTGGGTGAACACTTCTCAATGCCATGCTGTTTGGTTTGCTTTGATTTTTATACATAGAATCTCAGTCTTCAACCGTTTCCCTCAAAAATCAAATAAGTGAACACTCTGATTCTGCAAATTAAGAACCAGTAGCTTTGTGTTCTGCCTTGCATTTCTACAGTTAATACGGTGTGCAGTATTAACTGTAAAAATGCAAAATGTTGCCTTATTTTATTAAGCTACATCATATAAAAATCACCTCCAGAAACAACCACCAAAGCAAACTAAAAACTGTTGATTCTCTAATCATTCACTAGCACATACTCAGTTTTTCCAGTCTTCTCTTTTTACAACCAGCTTCCAAATGCTGTTTCATTACAGCTCTAAGAGAAACAGGGCTCCATACAAGCCTTAGATGGCTTTCTTTTTTTGTCTGATATCAATTCCACTGAGTTAACTCTTGCCAGTAAGTACAGTACAAGAACCACACACAGCAAGTCTTCTATAAGAATGAGTACTTTATCAACCCAAAATGCTTCAGGGGCAGCTTCGGGCTTGAGTCTAGCATAACCAGGAACTCCTTGTGTGACAGTTCAGCGTACTGCAGCAAAGGCAGCAAGCTTGTAAATGTAGCAGCTAGGTTTTTGACAAGTTTGACTCGTGTGATTTACAGAATATGAATTTCTTCTGCCTATCTGTACATCATAATTATTCTCAATTAGTCCCGATGTGTTGCCTATCATACTCTGGCCTTCCTACTATTTAGTTTGATCCCTTCTGGATAGGCCCATAGGATGAGAATTAATCATCTAGAATAATTAAGTAAAACAGTTGTGAGAGCCTCCTTCAGAAGAAACACTGTTTCTAAAAGTTGCTGCTTTGAGCTGAATTCAATTTACTGTCGGATTAAGAATAATAATAATAATATTAAGGAAGTGATTTCTGCAAAAGAGAAAACATTTGGAGCTTCAGCCCAGAATAATACCAAAGAGTAAAATCCCATTCCTCAAGTGTAACCACCTTTTAAACCCTTTTCAAGCCAAGATCAATCAAATATTTCAGTTTATGTACTAATATTCGATACTGCTTATGTCAGATGCATGATGTGCAATGCATTAATGGCTTCCCACAAGGACTCCCGATGCTGCATGTGTTCTGAATGATCTTCAGCAAATACGACAGGCTTTGTTCTTCAAAACTGTCCATTTGTGTGCTAGTCTTTGGCATCTGAGTTACTCAATTTTCATCTTAAGACAACCAAGGTCTAGCTCTTTGAAATGAGATTTCATTTGTCATGTAACTAAAAAATTCAAGTTACGGTCACCTCCAAATAAGGTATATTTAGTTAGAGACCACTTCTGTCAATACTGACCTTGTCATTATTTTTTTGGGGGGGAGCCTGGATATGAAAAAATACAACACAAATTTTACACACAATTCAGACACTGTCACAATTAACTTGTATTAATATTTGGAACTTATAGGTCCTCATCAAGAAAGCAACACAGAGCCCATATTACCGATAGCTTTAAGAATGCCTCATATTACCTCATTACATCTCATTTGCATCATGAAAAATAAATCTCTTGTACTTTCCATATAAAAGAACTCAGCAGCAAACAAATCACTGTGTGTATTTTCAAGAGCTACCATTTAGAACTACCTGCTGTGTGCTGCAGGAAAAAACAAATCTTACCGCCTTCCAGTTATAATAGGCAAAAAGTCTTCTGATTTGGCTTCAATGACTTTAAACATTACTTTCTGCAAATCTGAAATTCCCACAGCCATGTCTTCGAGCATCCCTGCTTCTTCACCTGTATGGAAAGATCACAGAAGTTATTTAACAGAGAAGACAGATCAGTCACTGAATAGGTTACAGTAAGGCAATGCAGGGATTATACTTCCCAGTCAGTGCATCTAAAAGTCACAGCCCCAAATCCACATTCAAGTAACCTACATAAAAGCAGGCTGATTTTAAGAACTGCTGACAATTCCCTGTGGCCTAGATGATAACAACGAGTATTAAGCACCTCTGAAAATCAACCTGTTCTATATGTGCATGGAATAACTTCAGAAAAGCCTTCTTTTGACTGTTCTAAAAGTGTTTTTAAAGACTGTCCTGCTGATGGAGGACAAAGGTTTTAAGAATAACAGTGAATATTGTGTAAATGGAGTCTGATAGCAGTCTCCAAGAGTGGAGATGCAACTGCTTATGCAGCAAAGACCTGCACAAATGCTAAATCCTTCTACTTAATCAAAAATCTCTATTCTGGGGAAGTATTCCGATACATCTGGTTCAAACCATTTTGAAATGAGCTGCAATTTCCCTCTCCAAATATCTTTTAAATAAATATCAAATGATGGAACTTAAAACAATTTAGGCATTAAACAATTTTCAAGTTATCTTCACATCGCCAATAATGACACAGGGCGCAGAATAGTCAGTAACTACTTACATGTTCTGTTTGGGTTAGCTTCATAAACCTATTTTGGATTAGGTCAAATGCCTCTGCAAACAGTATCTGTCAAAATCAAGAGATCCCCTAGCTGTACTGATGAAGCTAACCTCCTGTATTTAAGGCACTGCGGTTCAGCACTCTGCATCAGCTACTACTCCTTGAGAGAGTGAAAATAAATTAAGTAATTTATGATATATTACATTGACAACAATGTATCAATGGCTTCAAATGTGCCATGATATAGAAGCCTATGTTCTCCTCAAGGTATTATTTCTTGATTAAATAAGCCAAATTTCTGGAAAAAGAACCAAGATTAAAATCAGAAACTCCTGGGTAAACATCTAGTTTGCATGCATAAGGAATTCTGTCCAGGAACTCTACTTACTATATGTGCTTAGGAGTCCTTCATATTGCACAAGTAATCCAACAGTATGAAGCTGTTGTAAAAATCCTTGATCATGTAAACCTGTGTGCAGCTTGATTATAAACCCACAGACCAATCCAGCAAGCTATAAAGACAATAAGAAATGTGAAGTCACATCAGTAATATTTAGACACTTCAGAAAATAACTTAGGTATTTCTACTTAGCAACTACATACATCACTTCATATTAGTCTATTGGTGAGCCACTTTGTGGTATAAAAACAAGTAAAATATTCTTATATTCTTAATATTGCAAAACTTTTTTTTTTTTTTTTTTTTTGGAGTTTATATTATTTACTCTGTCATAAATGAGAACAGAACCTTCCATAACAGAATATAAACACATAAGGATGTGAATTATAATAGATTTTGATGCAGGTTGGCACCTAATGCAAGCATCTCCTTGCTCATCACACCCTATCTCCTTAACTGTGTTAGGAAAAACACACAGTATCTTGAAGGAGAAATTAGACAACTCATTTAGAGGCAAGCTATCTGGACGGCACCATCTACAGCAGAGGATCAAAATAACTTCACCTATTTACCATGAGAAGACTAGTCTGAAGAGAGACATGTGGACAGTCTTCAGACACATGAAATACTGATTCAAACAGAAAACAAATGATCTATAATTCATTTCCAAGGTGACCAGGGAAAAATTTCTGGCTGCTGCTCGAATAGCAGCAAGGAACATTCAGGCTAGACTTGAGATCCTTGCAGGTAAGGATACTGGCATACGTAATCTGGGAAGACTGTGTCTATAGCTTTATGGATCTTTCTTTGTGCAAAGGTGATAGATTATGTAAGATATTTCAGTTTATAGCAGATCGATTTCTGCAACTCAGTGATTCAGTTAGTATGGATTTCGATTTACTATTGATTTTTCTAACATATTATAAAATATTTAGGTGGATGTAATGGAATAATACATGAAAAACTTGTGTTTAACTTGGAGGAAAAAAAAAACAAAAAAACAACAAACCAACACATATGCAGGCATAGATGTTCAATTAGAGCAACACTAACAACATCAAAAATAGTCACCACAGTAGAAGATAAGTGACATAAGAAAACCTACTGCTTGACTAAAGACAATGTCTCTCCTTAGGGTCAGCATCAAACATTGTGGCAAACCACAGGCAAGCTCCTGGAGCAGAACAAACGCCATGGACTGCTTTGCCCTAGTGACCACCTCTCCCATGCAATCCTTCAGTGTAATCACCAGGGGATAAAGCTGCTCATACCAGTCACCTAGAACAAGACAGATCATTAGTTCCAAAACAGGAAAGTAGTAGAAAAAAAGTTGGTTTTCAGATTGGAGAGTGAGCTGCAACAGAACATCTTAGACTTCTGGTAACACTACAGCTCTATTCTAACCATTGTGGGTCTGAAAAAACAAGAGAAACGACTCTAGCTTACCACTGAGATGAGGGATATTTTTTCTAACAAACTGAATTTCTCTGAAAAGCCTGCACTGAAGTGTTGTACACAGAGCATTTTGGGGTAAGAGTGAAAACTCATTTAGTGCGACATGAATATGATGGAGAATCTCATCTTCTATCTAGCACTGACAACTCAGATCTAAGTAAATTAAATGCAGTCAAATAAGAAAAAAAAAAAAAACCAAACTCAGAAAGAGCACATATTGAAGAAAGAATGAGTGCTGGAAGGCAAAACAGAAGAACAAATAGTTACCTGGGAAGGATATTACCTATTTAATGCATAGGCTGGAAAGATAGTAACCTTCAAGTCACATTCTTTTTTCTTTTTAGTTTCTGCCTGTATTCCCTTTAAATAGAGATATTGAACTCATTATTTTTTTTAGCCACTCTGAACAGAGAGATTTCAAACAACTCTATAAAATGTTTTGCTCAGTTAAAATGAACGTTAGGAATATCAGGAAAAAATAGGCCGTTGAAACGTATGAAAAAAATGGGACTTATGAATATATTAGAAATGATAGAAAGTGATAATGAGGAATGGAGGAAAAATAGAATAGCTTACTCAAAGTTGCCCAATTACTTAAGCTACTCCTGCATTTGTCAAGATATAATAAAAGCAGACCTGCACTGTACTTATCTACGGTTTTGTTCACCCCTCTACAATGAGCAAATAATAAAGAAAAAAATGTTCTCTTTCCGAATGTACCTCTCTTGCTTTCATTGTTGTAGTTTCAAAAGAAAAAAACCTACGCTTGAGAAAAATCCATATAAAAACAGGGAGTGTAACTGACCTAATTCTGTTCATCTCTAAGTCATTTAACCTGTAGAGTAGTGTAATTAAGAATCAATGATAATCAAAATTTGTTCAATTTCAACTGTAATTACGTATAAGATAACTGCATATTTTTTCCGGTAACAGAATCTGAATCGGGTCAGCAAGAGCCTCATTAGCACTAAGTTCTTTAAACAACACCACATAGCTGCCTGCTGCAAAGTTAATTTGGCCATGCTACAGAAAAATACGGAAACAGATAAAACTGTAGCCAAGACAACAGAGAGAACTTTGAAAGCTAGGAGGAACCGCAAAAAATGAAGCCACAGGAAGGAACGAAGAGGAATTTAGAAAGAGTGGTCAGAGAACTAACTTGGATTGCTTTGCGAACAGTGCCTATGTGATGAGACAAACTGTGTTTTAAGAGGCATACGTATCTCAGTGGAAGAAATAAAGACTGAAGAGCTGTTCCCTGGAAAAGAGAAGTTATCAAGTTATGGTTCACGATGGCTAAACAGAACATAAGCATCTCCAGTTCCATCCTGCAGCAAGGAGCTGATTTTATACAAAAATATTGGTAACAACACATGCCAGCATCTGGTTTACGCATTTTCAAAACTACGAGAGCTTGCAGAGGAGACCTACCAAGATTTAAGGCTTAATCTTCATAAGCCTATAAAAAAGATGAAGCAGTAATTTGATTTCTGTACTTTATGAAGAAAAAATGAAGAGTACTAAAGGGGATCTGTATTCTAGAGAATAAAAGCAAAAGAATCAAAAGCTGGAGGCTGCTGTGAGACACACTGGAACTCATAAATACAGCAGGAAACTTCAAGTCAGGCTAGGTCGATCAGACCACCTAAATTATTCTTTCTAGTCTTAAATTAGACTGATTTATTAAATTAATCTATAAGTAAATGCCATGAAAAGCAGAATGAGACTAAAACACAACGTGCATTAAATCAGTGTGCAGGGCATAAGTGCAGATAAAAATACAATTTCTAGTCTGCTTCTCACTTGAGCAAATAACTCGATGAAATCTCTGGGTATTCCCATTTTTCTTACAAAGAGCAGCACAACCTAAGCTGTAAAAGCATGACCACTTAAGGATAGAAAAGCAGACCTGAAGGTAGAGCCAATCTGCCCCAAAGCAGAGTTGCACAGTCAAATCCAAGTACACTGACACCAGGGCAAGAAAAGAAAAAGATGAATTTGCAGACCTAGATGAATTTTACGTGCACACTTCTGCAACTTAGTTTATGGGGAAAGGACTAAGGAGATTCAACAACACTCCTCCACAGAAGAGCAGGTCACACACCAACCTTAAAAGTCGAGTAACATTGACATCTTATACCACCAAGTTGCCCCTTAATCTGACACTCCACACAGTGCATTTCTGCTTCTTCAGGATCATAACTTTGTACTTGTCCTCAGTGAACTGCATTCTAGTATTTCAGCGCTCCTTTTCGTCAACATCCATTCTAGTCCTACTCCCATGGTGCTTAAAGCATCTCCCAGCTTTAATCGTCTGCAAATTTTATGAGACACATCTATGTTTCATAAGCCAAGTCAGTAATGAAAATGTTGAATAATACTGCACTGAGAACAACTCTAAGTGGATTCTACTTCATGCAGCCTTCCAGGATGCCAGTGAACACCTGATAACTTTACTGTTTTGTGATTTTTCTGAATTATTTGTCATGATCCTTGTGCTAGGTAGCTTCACAAACATTTCTTCAGTATTTTTGTAAGACTGTTTGGAAAGTAATTCTTGTAAAGATAAAAATTGGAAATATTTTATCATATTACTCGCACATATAATGTCAGAATTTGTCAGTTCCTCTTGCACTAAGAAGAAATTCAAAGATTTAGAGTACTCAAGGCCATTTTCTTCATTGAATGACTTCAATGACAGTCAAGGTAACTATATTAAAAATAGATCCTACCAAAAGAAAACAGTGACATAATATTACTCTACAGAAAGCTTTACTTTTATATGCACTTTGCTTTGTAGAAAACAATGAAAAACCTAAGTTTGTAGGAAGCTTTACCTGAATGGCTAAATAAATGAGAAATTATTTTATTTTAGAGTATAGATTTGTACTTGATAACCGGAAAGATGAAAATACAACACTCGCATGTAATAAAATGACCTAAAGCAATCAGTTAGCTCCTAGCTTCAGGAAAACTTCTGCTTACATTTAGTAAGATGTCCAGCCCCCAGAAAGTGGAGCTACTTTGCAAATCAAAAAAGGGATTACACAGCTACTTGAGAACAGAATATTTACGAATAGACAGATGTATTTTCAGGTTCGTCCTTTTATTTTTAAGTAAGATTAGTGTTCAAAGATTTAAAAAAATGTGTGCCATAAAACAAGTTATTTGAAGGAACAACTGTAGAGAAACATTCACAGATGCTCAATCATTGGTCTGTGTTAAAATCTCCATGTATCTGATCTTACACTGGACATCCAGTTGCAAATATTCCACTGAGGATATAAAATAAGATTGTTCATTAGCCACGCACAAATCTGCGTACGAGAAACACAGCAAATACTGCAGCTTTGAAGTTGCTCCTTGAAATTGAGAAGCACATTCATTTAAAAATAACAACAACAAAAAGCAGTGTATTTTGAGGCCTATATACATTTCATAGACTTTGGAAAATGTAGTACTTACATGCAAAGGATGGCATGGAATACTAATAAAATTAGTGAGAGAAAGTACATGTGAAAACGTACTGATCTAAATTCATCTTTAGATTGTCCTTTTTTTACCTTTGCACAATGCGACTCGTGTCTGAAGGTTCTGCTCGGTTACAAGACAACATTTCCATACCTAAAAGAGTTTGGGACATGATCAAGATGTCTCGCAACTCACTCTTCATGAGAAAACCTGCAATCAGCTCAGCATGAGCTGTTGCTGAAAGGAGATGCCAGGAGGATAACCACAGCTCAGGACCTCTGACCCTGCAGAGACTGACAATAGCTTTGCAGAATCATACAGGGAAAGGAACTGTAAAAATTGTTTATGTTCCTAACACATGAAGCACTTAAACGAAACACTGACTTTCAGATATCAAATTTACCTAAAATTGAATGTGCAAGATATTCATCCTCAATGAAGGAACAAGAAGCGTTTCACAAAGACTGAAGGATTAACTGAATGAATAAACATTTCAGAAAGGACATTAGGATCAAAAAGATAAAATACAAGTAGACTACAGGATGACTGTCATGTTGCTAACATGACAAGGGCAGCCTGTCCTGTTTGAAATATTTAGCATCCAAACGAAGGTGTCAAAGCCTAGTGATGAGGCAAGAAAACTCAATTCAGAAATCTCAAAAATCATGCTAGTCAGCCTTCGGATAGAAAACTAAAACAAGGTGTAAAATGAAAAACAGAAGGATGAAACTGGAAGAAAACAATCACTATACAGTTAACATAAGATTAAAACAAGAGTAAGACAGTACACGTGTAGTATTCTCCTTCATCGCTAACAAAGAGTTGTAGAAGTTCAGTTTAGGATGGGATCCTTCAGTCTCATTCTCTCAACTTGCTTGCACAGGCAAATGGCCTGCTCAGCTCTCAGCTTGTCATTCTACATGTTAATATTCAAGCTGCACATGAATTTGATGAAGTTTGGCACAAAAGCGAGCTCCTGCTCTTTTCAAAATCAAGCCCACTGAACTGTACATTGAAATGTGCTGATGATCAAATAGGAAGAGCCTAAGGCTGTGCAATAGCACTTCTATCTTGTTTTACCCTGGCAACAGAGAAAAAAGCCAATTCTATCATTCCAGTCCACATCACCTAAAAAAAATCAGTGGATATCTTCGATGGCTTTAATTCACCTCAGAATTTAAATGGTATGAAGTTACAAACTAAAAATGGAATTGAAACAGAAGAATGCACAACATCTGGCTTTTAAAGGAACAGAGCACCCCGGAAACTTTTGGTTACAAAGTTAACAGCAGCTACTAAAAACTTAAGCATTTACTGTAGGTAATCATTCCCTTAATAAATACATATACGAATATATAGAAAGCCCATGATGGGATTGAAGTAACATGTCATATAACGTAAATTTATTGACATCACAAATTGAACATGCTAGTCTAAATCTAATGGCTCAAAAAAAAAAAAAGGCCAGCAAAACAAATCAACCAACCCAAAACTGAAACAATCTCCTCAGAAACAGCTGGTGCAAATTACTGCAGAAAGCAGTAATTAAGGCCAACGGTCTGAATTTACTCCTTCAGGACTGCACCATGCTCACTATTCCTTTGTTTTCCTCTTAGCTCTTGCAGTTACTTGATTCAAAGATCAGAACTCAGCTCTTTGAAAAGGGATGAGGTTTTATCCTTGTAACTCTGCAATATTTCTCACTTCTCAGTAGAACGTCAGAAATCTGAGTCTTCCAGGTATTTCTGCAGCCAATGTAACAGGAGTCGATCACGTAGTTCTGGTGCCAAAGGAAACAATTTTAAGATCTTGGAGATTTATCACTCCATTCCAATCATCTGATATTTTCTGCATCGTCAGAAAGATTAAGAGCAAAAGTTGAAACCCACTAACCATATATTTACACATTTGTGTCCCCGAAACTTTGGTCTTATTGAAAACAAGAGAAGAAGGTGATGGCAACAACGAAGTTAAAACAAATGTAAGAGACTGAAGATACAGAAATAATGTACAAACATTTCTCTAGAAGTGTTACACAAGAAATATTCTGACATCTTGTTTAAGAAAATAGTTTGTTGAATCAGTCTTTGTTTGCCTTATTTATTTTTGAGCTTCTGTCAACAGCTTAATTACCAATAGCTAATACTGCTGTAGTGGTTGTCTCATGTTCTGGGCTACATACAGCTCAGCTAATGAACCTATCAAAAAGAGAAGGAAGACAGAGATTAGCTGGAAACGCAAGTGGAAAAACGGAAGTAATACATCACATTTTGGAAAAAGAGCTGATGCGAAGACTTACAGAAAACAAGAAAAAAATTTGAGGAAAAGTAATGGAAGAGTAGGTTTTTCACTATTGCTCTTCATTTTCTCAAAATATATAGCACTTGTTAATCAAGGAACAGACTAGGGGATAATTTTTCATCTGCCCAATTAAATGATCACTTGAAGTAAAAACTGTTCTTCTGAAGATGCAAACAAAATCACACCATTTCACATTTCTATTGGCAATTGCATTTGGATGGATGCAAGGATGCAATTCCCTGGGGCACTGAAAGACAGAAGGATTTAATCTAGACTTCAAGTCCTCATCAGGTATCAGATTATTCAAAAAATAAATTAACATACGCAGTCTGTAGCAATGTGGCTATGAACAGATGTTTTCCTTCATTTGAGTCAAGAAATATGGCACCATTCCCCAGGTACTCATCATAACTTACACTGAAAGTTACCCTTAATCAATTAATCTGCCCAGCAGCTTAGTTTTTGACTTCATATTTCACCGCAGGCAAAATCCAGGTGCAATCACAATGCCAGTTTAAATTCTTTGAGATAACTTGGTTGATTTTGTATGCGGCAGATTAGAAGTACTCACAAAGAGCCAGTGGAAGAGAAGTTGAATTTGATAGTTCAGATGGAGGAGTACAAAGAGCAGCTCGTACCACCACAGATAAACACAGACATCTAAGAATAAATCTAAGAATGAACTATTGCATTTTACTGGCATCTCTAATTCTCCAGAACATGCTTTCACATTCTGACTCTGATGAAAAATGATAAGACAAAAATAAAGAGAATTCAATGCTGTCAAGTAATTCTCCAAAGAAAAACAGTCTTGAGTTAAAAAAGGTAAAAAGTTCCCTTAAAATCCATCTACTCTCCCTTATTTACCCTGCAGAGAAATCATAATCCTGCAAGTGATGAAATCACAGCATGTTACCTTGGTAAGTGATAACTCAAATTCAGTCTTAAGAGTCAACTCAAAAGTCAGACTGCATGAAAAGGCAGGCTAAGAAAGGTATAACTTACACTGAAAGCTAACTACAAGAAAGTGGTGCCACAAGCATTTCTGATTAAAAAGATTCCATACTACAAATACAGCCATGTTGGGAAAAAAAAAAAGAATAAGATCATTCAATGACAATATTGAGACTGCAAATACAAACCTATCTTCACAACCTTCAAGTACATTTAATGATAACACTTGTAGTTACAGGAATACGTTATTGCTCAAAAATATCAAATTACCCTCAGAACTTTTTCTACTGTCTAAAATGAATGCGTGTTGTGTTCTTTGCACTCTTCTTTGTTGTTTATTAGATGCTATACAAAATTCTGTATTGTAACAGGCAGGTTCACTAATACAAGGAAACATTTTAACCCATAATTTAAGGTGCATTTTTCAAAAATTTGATCAAGTTCTGTGTATTTCCCATTTTTCTTACAAACAGCAGCACAACTTTACATAGTATCAGCTCCAGGACTGAAGCATTTTCCGATTTTAAGATCTATCTGTGCCCATACATTCAGGCATTACTCAACCTGGTTATGCTCATATTATGGTATAATATATATGCATATGCATATATATATATATATATATATGAATGATATTGCAAACTTCTCACATGCACGCTGCTTGTGAATTGAATGTAGTATAAAATTCTAATATTTTAGAAAAAGTACACTCTTTATATACAAGAAAAGGTTATCAACTGCTGCAACTAGTCTTCAAATATAAAAGGAGGAGAGTTAAGGTTTAATTTAATTTTAACCCCAAACATTATCTCCATCATATATAGGTGATTCTTCACATCAAACTGGAATGAGATGCAGAGAGTAACAAAACAAAATCATGCTTTCATGAAGAAGTCAAGCACGAAAAAGTCCCCCAACAAATCTCCTACAGGGTGCAAGTGTTGCAAAACACTCCACGCAACTCAAAAGATGCACCAACTCCACTGTCACGTAAGGGCACTGGTACTCAAAAGGCATAGAGAAGACGCTGAAATGTGAGATACATTTATAAGAGAAATTTATCGCAGTACCACAGCCTAGGTCATCTCCAGAAGACAACTCCTTAATTGAACAAAACACAGTATAATTTTCTAACCGTTACAATCATCATTATTGCTTACCAAGAGGTATTCCTCATTCTATTTGATGAATTATCATAATACTTAAAAGGAAATGTAAGGGTTTTTTATTTTGTGAGCTAAAAATTCCAATGAATATTTAATTTGCCTGTGTAGAGTGTGAGCCTGAATCAAAGCTAACAGTACTGTTTTTTACAACTGTAGTGAAATTGCACTGGTGCTAGTTAAGTACATTTCATGCCTTACACTGAAAAACAGATTTTCAGGAAGTTGAAAATAGTGAGGGAAAACTAGTAAACATTCACTTGCTAGCGAACTAGTAAACATTCACTTGCTAAGTGTTTTTGCTTGTATGAACAGAAGGAATAAAAACATGAAGATAATCCTAAATCATAATTTTTCGAGACTGGATTAAAATAATAAGAATATCAATCTCTAATTTCGTTCCCTAGTGAAAAATACTTTTAACCATTGGAGTACAGAAAAAAAACCAGCACGTGACTCTCAGTACAAACATACTGTAAGTAACAGGAAATCAATGCGAGTATACTACAGCTTTATCTGCAAAACAGAATTAATTGGCATCCTGAGTTTCAGCTAATAGTAGAAAAATCAGTTAACACCAGGAGGAGAAGAGCTAGGCACAAGAAAAATGCATTTCATCCTTTTAAACAAAATCAGTATGGATGAGTTCATTTTCTAAAGATTGTTTCAAGCTGACAATTAGATTTACCTTGCCATTAAGACCATTGTTATATTCTTATCTAAAGGTCTGAAAAACGTAGGAAGCTTCTTTGAAAAAAGCTACTTCTGTTGATAAAAGCTTTCATCTGCAATTGAATAAACCAGACTACCACCATTGAAAGCTATGACTAGGCAAATCTTTTCTGTCAGCAATCTCAAAAATGCTATTTGGCTCCTTCATCTCATTTTTCTGTGGCTTTTCCCATTTGTATTTATACTAGTCAACGATTATTAAATAAAATAGAAATAAAGAAAACAGAAACAAAAAAAATCATAGCAAAAGGTTGCTTACTGCCTGCATGCTTGCAATCTGCTGCTGAGGGGTCAATTTCACCATCTTTAACCTTGCCGCTGTTGTCTTTTTCAAGAAGTTTGTCCACCATGGCAATAACACAGTTTAAACTCTTCCCCACATTGGCCCACACCCTGTCCTGAAAAGAGCATAATATAATCACTGCACATTACTGAAAAAGGATAAAGAGACAAAACCAACTTCTTATAGAAACATTAAAATGGAGACAATTTACACAACAATTAGGTGTTAGCATATTACCACTTTTCTCATTCTACAGGCAGTTTAAGCCTGTTACATGGACTGAATGACAACTGTTGCTTTCTTTTTAATATTAAAAGAAACAGTTCAAATTCTATATGAAAATGCATGTGAAGTTATCTATTTCAGGTTCAATCACAGGGAACTGAGCAGATTATCTGTTTGACTTTATACACTACGAGTATAGACACACAAGACCTTGACATATCAAGTCCTGTGGGCAACAAGATATTTCACCACGGTACTTCACAACCTCTTTTTAGTAATTTAACATATCTTCTATTTTATCACATGACGTAGTCTGTTAATACAGATGTAAAATTAAAAGAATAACTAACAATTTGCTGTCATGACATATTTGAGGTATCATCTGAGGTAATTTCAGCTTTGTCCTACACCTCTCACAAAGGCTGCAATCATGAGTCGTACACTGAGTTTATAATAAATATGAGAAATCCAGAAATAATAGTGCTGCAGAAGAAAATCCGTACAAGCAGAAAAGGAGAGAGAATGTGGAGGGAGAGAAAGAGTAACTACAGAATACAAGATACAGGCAGGGTCCCATCATGTGCTGGGTGGTGCAGAATTCAAAGCTCTCGCACATAGACTAATAGGATAGAATAACAAAAAAGAATGCAACCAAGCCATACAAGAAATGAAGTTGCACACAAGACTAATAGTCAAAGAGTAAAAAAAAAAGATAAGAAAAAAAAAAAAAGAAAAAACCTAACAACCAAACCTGAAACAACACACATACATGCCAAGTCATTCTTATGCTGATATAGAGCAATCAGCTTGCTTGATGGTTAAGAACGGAAAGATACAATCAATACTCTTTTCTTCTTTACAATAACCAAAAGTTTAAGGTACACATCAGGCTTTAAGACATAAAAACGGATGTGCAAAAAGACAACGTGAGAGATTGGCAGGGAAAGCAACTGAAAACTCAAAGAAATATCACAGTTCCATATAAGTGGTAGCACTTGAAAGTTGTGTGAGTGCAAAGAAAGAACTATTACTAAGGCAAACTTATTAAAGATTTACTTCCAATTGCATGTCACAACTCTTAGGCCAGTCTCGGACACCAGAGGGATCTCACCTTTCTACATTCCTTCCACTTGAGGGCACACACACCCTGTGACAAATGGGCATTCTGCCTTGAGAGACACAACGCAAATCTACAGATAGAGAAGCATCTACGTGCTGGAAACACATGGCAACACAGATCATGGCTCTCCAGCTCAGAATACAGAGGAAAACTCAGAATCGGAAAGAATTTGTAGGGCTGCTGCAAGAGCGAGTGAGCTGATGTACAATTGGCAATAAACTGTATTTAATCCACAAATACATTTTTGAGAAGTACTGCATTTGCAGTACAGTGCAACAAGTGGAAATATTTGCGCTTGTACACATGAAATATACTCCTACATACGTTCCTGAAATCCGCATGCACAGATGCAATTAAAAGTCAAAAATAGAGGACAGGTAGAATTTAATGAGAAATTAATTCTCATGCAAGTACCTAAAATATTCCTGAAAAATTTTCACAGTATGGCTGAAATGATTGTTTTCCAGCCCCCACAAGCATTAGTTTTGGGAAAACAGGTGACGTCTAATGTTGCAAATAGTAAAAATCCAAGCTCAAAAGAGCTCCAAGTTTTACTGGAGAATGGCAGAGAGCATCAGTCTTCATAATCACTGAAGTTGCTAAGGTATATGAGCTCAAATCATTCAGCACAGCTGCAGGAACATAATTTCCCTTTCCTCCCTCTGCTGGGGCAGTTCAATCCTAACACAAACAGTGCTAAGTTCTTAACACAAATAAGTTCATTTAGGAAGAAACACTTCTCCATGTAAACCAACTTTTAACCTAGCATTAAGATGATGTCTACAGAATATTCACACAAACATTCCCTCAGGGTTTAGAAGATTCATAAACATCTGTTGACAGAAAGCTCATTTTTATTATCACACATCTGGCCATTTCACATGACAGCAAGTGAAACAGAGCAAAAGCTTGTTGTCCCAGAGCTCTTTCTCTCCAGATAAGAGGTTCTTACGATTCAAAGTTATCACTATATGCAGACATAGACATATGCAGAAGTAGATGTGTCTACCATTTGTGGTGATGTTATACTGCCTACATCAAATACGGCCTCATTGTAAACAGCACATCTTGAGTAAAACTGTTCTCTCCAATCAATGAAAATCAAGTGACTCCTTGCTCTTTTACATAAGAGATGATACACAAATTTCACATTCCTTCTTCTCCCTCGTCTTTCACGTGTCTTCTTTTAGCCTAGCACACCTTCCAGTCACCTTGCATGTTCTTAAGCAATTTATTTTCCGCTTGCCTATAAAATGTGTCACTAATTATCATTTTGCAGCGTGTGTCAGATTAAAACACAAAACACCCTGTCTTATAAGCCTTCTGCGTGAAGTTAGGATGGGGAAGAAAATAATTGCTATTTCTTCATACATCGAAGTGCTGAGACCCTAGGTTCTTCAACAGGATGCTTCTTCCCTGACAGCAGTTTTGCCATCAATTGCCACAGAGCTAACTGGGTGTTTATTCCAGTGGTGTCAACAACCAAGAGAAATAAGATTTCTGGCTCATTCCTTTCTGCCTCTTTAAACTCCTAAGTCAAACTAATGACAGAAAAAACGTGCAACAAGGCTTGACTCTGCCAGGACAAAGCAGACTGGGATAAATCTATGGCATGTTAATGCCATAAATCTCAGGCACTGGAATGGACTGCCCAGGGAGGTGGTGGAATCAAGGAAAGACTGGATGTTGTGTTGAGGGACATGGTTTAGTAGAAGCTATTGGGAATAGGTGAACGGTTGGACTGGGTGATCTTTTAGGTCTTTTCCAACCTTGGTGATTCTATGTTGACACTGAGATGTGCCCTTTCACATACAACACTACTGTTGCACACTTTACTTGAGCAAAGTTTTGATGCAGCAACTTCATCACTCAGCGCTATGGAGACTGTTTTTGAGATGCAACTTGTGTTCATATAAGTATATTATATTAAAGCCCTTCAGAGGTGTGCTCATAGATAAAGCGAGTATTTTAACTAACGTTCACGATTAAAATCCTGTTGTAATTTGACAGTGCTTTGGAATGGAAAGTATACATGGGTCAGTACTTCAGAACAATATCTGAATACCATGCCAATATTTGTAAATAATTTACTGGAAATGATATTTTATGGTCACATTAGGTAGTCTGTCAGAAATGTGGAGCAGAAACAGCTCCAAGGGGCAATGTGCCTACCTTTTCTTGTATAATGCATGACAACATGCACTGTTCCCTCCCAGGTTCTAGGATACTAGAAGCAGCTGGCAAGAGAAGAGTATCCAGAGGCAAACTAATGCTCTTAAGTTAAATATTTTTCCTTCAACAGCACCACTGTATTACTGCCTACATACAGCACACCAATATAAACAGCTCAATTCATACTGCCATCAGCTACACTGGGATCAATATCTGTACTTGATATCAAAGCAGAGGTACAGCACGGCACTGCTACAGAGAAGAGGAAGGTTATCTGGGAAACATCACTCACACAGTGAAAGGGCACTGTGCGCAGTCAGGAAACGGGGAACTATTCCTTAAGACAAATTTGGATGCCTAAGAAGGAAGAGATCTTCACAAGTTGTTTTAGTATTGCGCTTTGAATTCACTTTTGTGACGTTTGTGGGACAATACAGACTTTGAAAGAAGATGGAAAGGAGTCAGTGCAAAGAGTTGTTGGACATTTAGATTTTGGACAACTGCAAAACAGAAATCTGAGTTACAAAAACAACTCCTGGTAACAGAGAACAACAAAGCAACAAAGGAGAATATAGAACCCTGCATAAAAATAATTTTCTTCTTCTTTCTTCTCTGAAAGCTGGCTTTCAGAGTAGATTAATTTTTTTTTTCAAATTTTATATGTGATTCTTCTATTTCCAACACAGTGTCATCTTGATCATTAAAACTCACATTATTAATACCTGCATTTTAATAAAGAAATAAATATCAATGGAAGCCTAACACCTAATCTTCAAATCCAGGAAAAAGACAACACTTCTTTAAGATTTATAATGTTTGGTATTGACTCAGACCCAGTTTATTAACTCAGAAAATATCTAGGGATGTACTTACATTTAATCAAGAAAGTAATTTTACTAATTCAGCAAGAAAAAAAATCCCAATGCTGTAAACTAATGCGTTTCTGTGATTTAGTGATTGGGTGCAAATATCTGGCAGAAAAATATCAATTAAAAAAAATATAGTTCAGCTATCTTCTCTGCAGCAGCAGAATTAGTACATTAAAATACAATTTGCACAAAAATTTCCATTCTCCCTTTTGACAAATGTATTGTGACATTTATTTTACTGAATGCCTTGTCAGCTGCGATCAAACATTTAGGTTTCAATTTCAAATAAACAGAGACAGTTCTAGTAGCCAGGTTGCAGGAAAGAAACCATGAAAAATGAATTCAAGGTTTTAAAGTCAGCACAGAAACAAAAAGAATGAGTTGGTTATTTATTGTTTAATTCTCATGTCTTCCTAATGAATGGGCAGAGAGATAATTGTCTTTTCTCTTCAAGCCACATTCTTCTTCTCTTATTTATGGTATGGATAAAAGTTACCATTTCGGTGTAGGTACTATAGCTCACAGTTATTAATTATTTACAACATAGATTACTATGTCTGAATCCTTTATATTAAATGAGAATACAGTGATGAACTGAATACAGTATGAACCTGAACCGAATAAAAATAACTGGAGTTGGGGGTATACGTAACAAAGAAGCAGATCTTTTGTGAACACATCTACCAAATTATTTAATTTACTAAGTCTCAGCCACAAATAATATACATCTTTGAAAGACATAACAAGAAAGCTAAAATCTAAAACCCGTGTTTAGTTTGTTTTACTCAATCTCAGATATCTTCTAGGAACTAAGTCAATGAGAAAACCTCTCTGTTTTGCTAAGACTTAATTCATGCACGTTGAAACTATTTATGTTCAGTCTTGGCCAAAAAAAATCCTGATATCAGTGCATGCCTTTTCAACCTTCTTAAACGTGTCTAATCAAGAAAAAGAACTCAAGTAAAAGTAAATAACGCTTATTCTTCTGTTTATACAATAAGACATTAATCATCCTCTCTATTACTTGCTCCTCTAAGCTGTTGCACTGAAGCACACTGCAGTTAGGAAACTTATTTAAGTTAGTTTTAGGGAAGTATATCATTTTTAAATTCCAGTAACTCAAAATATATTTGAAAAATATTGTTTAATACTTTTGAATTACTTCCCCAACCAAGCGTGACAAACTTACTAGGCCTTCCATTTGTTTATGCTTGTTTTCAGGTTTTGGGATCCAATACCAACCAAAAATATTCCAACTACTTACCCACTCTTCCTCATCATACTCAGAATGATGGGGTATAGAGTCCTGTCTTTTAACCTGAGATGGATGATCCTGATGCTTTAGGTCATCCCCCTCTTCTGCACAGTTTCTAGGCACAGCTGGTTTCTTGAGGACACAGCCAGGTCGGGCTGTATATAGTGCTAAAAGGGCACTTCTGACCAGCTGATCCTTAAATGCATGCACAAACAACTCCGTCTAGAGATAAACAAAAATACAAGGTTAGGACAAATAATTTAACAGAGCATTAAAGCAATTACAACAGTGAATTATTCTTAGATAGGGAAGTTTGTGCTTCTGGTCAGTCCAAGGAACAGAAAGCAAAAAACAGCAAAAAATAAGGAACAATTCAAGAGCTTCTATGACATCACATTCTTATCGTTCTAAGACTTAACTAACACAACAGTAAAGTATCTGTACTAGAAATTACCACCTTTTTATACAATTCTGCTTTATTTAAGCTTCAAATTTTTCCTGCACCAACAAGACCAGCTCTAAAAGTATCCAACTACTTTCCAGTCATTTATAGGTGTCAAACAAAATCTGATGAACAAATCATAGAATTGCAGAATGGCCTGAGTTGAAAAGGACCGCAACCACCACTGAGTTTCAGCCCCCCTGCAGCGTGAAGGGTCACCAACCACCAGACCAGGCTGCCCAAAGCCACATTCAGCCTGGCCTTGAATGCCTCCAGGAATGGGGCATCCACAACCTCCTTGGCTGAGATCTCCTTATATAAAAAACACTCCGCTCTGCACTGTTGAAATTCAAGTACCTGCAAAAGCAGTGTTGCCAAGTACAAGTTGTGATACCTATAGGTATCAGTCCAGACTTCTGAAAAAAGGAAGGAACCCCTGAAGTAATTTTTCCAGACTCAATACAATTATAACAATAAGATGTTACTTATTATATAATTATAACAACATCATATAATCATTAAATTATATAATTGTTATTATCATAACAATAAGATGCTACTTATTGACAGTCTAACATTTCGAAGTTCTCCTTTTTGACTGTAACAGCTTGAAGTTGATCTTACTTTTAAAAACTTCCCGTCTCCCTGCATTATTTCCTTCTATCACAACAACAACAAAAAAAAAAGTAAAAATGATAACATTCATCCTTTTTGCATATGGTCTTCAGCATCTCTGGCCTCTGTTTCTGTATAACAGCATAAACTATCTAACTGTTATTTTCTAAGTCATTCTCAAGTTACAATCAATTTACAATATGTAGTGTGATATCTGAGACAGATAAATTCAGGAATGTGAATATAAGTTATCATTTCACATTTCACTAATTCTGCTGTATCACAAAGCAAAAGCCTTTTGGAGACACCATCATAAAAAGGTTTTAAAAATTAAGACAGGATTGTAGATCAAATTATTACAACATGCTACGTTTCCAGAGTTGACTTGTGTCAACTAGTATGGAAAATCCTCACTGTATGAGTTTTCACATATCGTCAGCACAATGAAGTCATGCAGAAAAGCATGGAACAGATCTTACCCCTACAAGCAATTGGGTGTGCTATTGGTCAACTTCTTTTTTTTTTTTTTAACCTGGTATAAGACTGTGACTCTCAACTTTTAGTTTAGATTGACAATCTTCAAGAACTGCCTTTCGAAGAGCACTGGTCCCCCACACTCAGTGTTTGCCACGCGCTATCACTTCCCGCTGTCATACACATAGGGCCCCGTTTCCGCTATTTCTCTGAAGGATGCTGGCTCATTCACACCATCAGTTGACGCAACCAACTGAACCACAGAGAGCGAGGCACAAGCACACATGCCTTCTCATTATGCAGCAGCAATCACAAGCAAAGCAGCAGAGACAGCTGGAGGAGTCAATTTTAGTTACTTCAGCAATGGTCATCAGACAATCTGTCTAAGATGGGACAGCATGCACCCTGCCAGTTTACCACAGCCCAAACAGGCTACTGTACCTTCTATCTCTGGTCAGGGCCTGTGATTCACAAGAGACAATGAAATACTGTTTCTCATTCCTTCCGTTCCATAATTTTTTGAATTTATTTACCCTATCCGAGGGATTTAATTGATCTCCTATTTACTGGACTGTCATGTACAGCTTCAGACAGTGAACTACCTTTGCACACATTCTTAAATAAACAAGCACACACAAAGTATATGCCTGCAGAGTGATGAGCCTAAACAGTTACACAGAGCTAGGAAATACTAAAAATCAAGATTGCCTGGCTAAGCTTTCTTCAGCTCTTTCATGCTTCTTATGCAAAGTCCAGAAGAAAAAGCCAAGGAAAAGAGAAAAAAAAAAAAAAAAAAAGAACAGGAGCAGGATCTGAGGGCATTGGTTGATGGAACACTCAACATGAGCTGCCAACCCAGAAGGCCAAACGTGTCCTGGGTTGCATCATGAGAAGAGTGACCAGCAGGATGAGGGCACCCAGTTCTGGAGCACCCAACACAATAAAAATATGGGGCTTACAGCAGCCTTCCAGAACCCAAAGGGAGCCTACTGGAAAGCTGGGAAGGGACTTTTTAGAAGTGCAGTAGGACGAGTGGAAACAGTTTTAAACTTGAAGAGGATTTAAGCAAAATTCTAGTAAGAACTTCTTTACTGTGTCAGTGGTGAGACACTGGAACAAGCAGCCCAGTGACGTTGTGGATGCACACAAGACCAGGCTGGATGAGGCTGTGAGCAACTTGGTCTAGTGGGAGCCATCCCTGCCTAAAGCAGAGGGACTGGAAGTGAATAATCTTATACGTCCCTTCCAACCCAAACCATTTGAAGATTCAATGAAAACAAACGCCCTTAAGTTCTAAGTGTTAGTCTCTATCTTCCTGGAAATCTTTCTCCCAGTTTCTTCCAGTACTCCTTCCCAGTGTTTTATCCAGGTCCTTTTGACTAGTATTTACTTCACTTTTGCGTGCCTTTACTCAAACTATTCTTTTTCTTTGGTTTCCTGTCTCTGTAGCCCTCTAAAAGCCAACCGACATTTAGACCACAATGCTCTAAAGAATTGAAAATATTTTATGTAATGCAAGCTTTAGCTGCTGAGGTTGGACACATGAGACGTCCCTGCTCTTCCGCAGAAACTTTTCAGCAAAAGAACACATTCTTGATCACAGAATAGTAGGGGTTGGAAGGAACTTTTAAGAGATTGAGTCCAATCCCTCTGCTAAAGCAGCTTCCCTACAGCAGGTCACTCCGGAAGGTATATGGATGTGTCCTGAATATCTCCAGAGGAGACCCCACAACCTTTCTGAGCAGCTTGAAGGCTTCACCACTCAGAGTTAAGAAGTTCTTGCCTGTGTTCCAGTTTCAGCACATTTCCCTTGTCCTATTGTTGATGCCATTGAAAAGAGACCATCCCCACCAGTTGACTGCTGCATTTTAAATCGCTTTGAGAGTCCCCCCTCAGCCTTCTCTTCTCTGGAATAAAGTGTCACAGGTCTCTCTGCATTAGATCCCTAATGGGCGAACAGAGAACGCATGAAAATTCGCTGCAACTAAAACTCAAAAGGTTTTGAAATAATAACCTAAGAAACACGAAGTCATAATTTTTAAAGTTAGCATCAGGACTTCTGTGATTAGGCACGATCAATACTATTTAACTCTCAGGCAATTTTATCAGACCCATTTTACCTCTTCAGTAATTTAGTACCTGAGGGAAAGGCTACTTAAATACAGACAATTCTCTTATTTGTAGACCTTCAGGACTGCCTCATTGTAGTCTCGAAATTAACTGTAAGGCAATTTTGGTTTTTTGTACTTCCAGCCTCCAAATGGTACACATTTAGAGAACACAGTCTAAGCACTATTGCTACCAAACCATACCAATCTTCTATAAAGATGAGATAAAATTCTAACCGCAGAATTATCTTTTCTCACACAGTAACGGGGAGCTACTTTTTCTGGCTATTCTACAGTTCCTGTCAAAACAGCCCAAACTACTTCTCTGTCATTAGAAATGACAATGCCACGGTTTTGCTGATGTCTTGCATCTCTCTTTCCCCTTCCAGTCTCTTTGAGATCGTACCAGGTTTCTGCATCAGGAATGGTAAACTCAAACAAAAAAAGCTTTCTGTTTCAGAAAGATATAAGCATTGGGCAATTTTAAGTCAAGAATGCCTACTATGACTGTCATACATATCAGGTAACTCTCTGAAAAGTTTAAGTAATTCAATTTAGATGTAAATATTTTATAGGGAAGAATGTGTTTTAGAAAAGTTGGTATGGAAGTGAATTTCTGTTTTTTTCTTATAGAATCTAAAATTCTACCATAATTAAATTCCATTGAATGATTCCTTTGGTTTAGCAGCTATCAACATTTTGCTACATTTTCTTAAAGTTAAATACAGCCAAATTTGCAGAACAACACTATTTATAGAATTTCATTGAAGCCGCAAAACAAGTATATAGAAAGAAATGCAAACTTTCAAGTTCGTTTAGATACTTGACTACAGACTATTTCTGTAAATAAAGATAGGCATAGCTGGAAAATGAATGTATCAAACCTTCTGCAAGCTGCAAATGCTGATACACTTGTCAACAGCTAATGGCTTTTTAAATCAATTAGCAGAAAGTGCTGATAAAAGATTAGTCTTAGAAAGAACTGTACAGTGAATTGCAAATCATATACGGAGAAGTAAAACCTTGATAGAAATATTAGAAAATAAGGTCAATAAAATAAGCGGTGAAATTATTTTCACTTCCAATGCACACGGCCAGTCCTTCCGTTTCTAATAAAATACTTGGCTGTAACTCAAGTTTTACTGCTACCTAACGTTTGGAAACAGCCAGTCTTTATATGAAGCTTAATAATGGCTTGAGTCGAAAACGACACACTTTTTAACAAATTTGAGAAATGTAATTACTGGACAAATATCTTCTCCCAACTTCTTCAAACAGTTGCTTAACTTCAAAATTGGTATCAATTTAAGCAACAGAAAACTTCTTTCTTACATGTAAAAAGTACACGAAAGGCAATACGAAATGAAATTCCTCCCTTTCATTTTCAGGCCAAGTTCTCCTTTCCTATATACCCCCACATTTGCAGCAACTCCTCTTTTCCTAAAGTTACTGTGGATTTACACATCTATAACCAAGAGTGACATTTGTCACCCCCGCGGCTCCAGTGCAAAGCCATCACAGGATGCGGCTGAGCTCAGTATGGAGCTTTGAAACTCTCACACTGAACAACGTGCTGCTGGGACAACGGCTCAACAGACCACAGGGGTTGTCACTTCCCGGTAGCTGAAGATACATTGAAATGATTATTGATCGTGCTATTAAGTCACATTGAGATCACATTACAGAAGGTAGGGCCCATGAAGCAACAGGGAAATCTTAAAACCCCACTGGTTATAGCTGTAGCACTTAACGTTTTTTGTAGAGAAACATATGCTTAAAATTACTTTGCAGACTTCAGCTTATCTCCAAAATCCCTCTGTGAGACAGGGGGAAAATATTATCTTCTTTAATTTAGAGCTAAAAACCTAAGATGAGGATGTGCCTACAGCTACAGAAGAAAATAGTAGGAGGACAACTAAAACTGAGACCTTCTAGTTCCAACTTTTTCTTCCAAACTGCATCATTTCTGGTCATGCTATTATTTTCACCTTCGTGCACTAGCTTGAACTACCTCCCGTAGGCAGTTGAAGTATCACAGAAAAATAAATAATATTACAGTTTATCATCCCACAAAATTATCTACAATAACCTATTTTTGATAAACCCTATTACATGACCACAAGAGGTTAATGAAGACACATGAAATTACACCAGTTATACTTTCAAATAATGCCAACTCTTACAAGCTCCATTAGTTTTCTATGTGAGTATCTGCAGAAAGGCAAAATACTGTTTTTTTTGTTTGTTTGCTTGTTTTTTGATGGCAACATTTTGAAGCTTATTTTAAATGCTATGAAAGGCAACTTATGCTGGAAAAAAGTCCCAGCAGTTACTGAGTTTGTTATTTCATTTTCCACTGCAGCAAAGACTTCAATCTTACTTTTTCTGAAAGCATCTTTAAAGAGTTCTTCAAGCTGTCCGGAGAATGCTGGCTTGCAGAATTAAGCAGAAGGTCTGCATGGCTTGATATGAGAGGCTGTAGATGATTGATGTTGCTGAGAACTTCTTTTGCCTTAGCTGTGTTTTCAGGTGAATAGTAAATACACTGGTATCCAGTACTGTAAGAACAGAAAGATAAATGCACATCAAAATGATTTCTGCTATTATTGTGATTAACATGGTAAGATATTATGATATTGTAAGAATAATGATACCAAAAATTGACATCATTGAAACCTTTCTTCCTTTACCTTAAAGGTAAAAACAAGTCCTAATTTCAACATCAGAGGAAAATTCAGACTACCAAACATTCTGCTTTCCTTTTACCTGTTCACAAACTACTGCACTTACTCTGCACAGCTTATTTTTGCTTTTCAAATTTAATCCTTTTTTCATTGTGTTTTTCCCCACTATTTACTAATTATACACTATCCTTTCATCTCATTATTCCAAAATACTGTTTTTAGGCAGAGTATATTCCTACTGGTGGAGAAAAAAAGCCAACAGAGCATACAAGACCTGGGTGCACAGTGCATTTTACTCCTAATTTATTCATGCCTCCAACAGGCATGATTTTATTTAACTACTCAGTTAAGAGCTCAAGGAAGAGGACCTAGTGGATAAAAAAAATAGATGTCAGGCCATTCCAACAACCCATACATAGAATGCCTAGCTGGCCATATTACACTTATTAATAAGTATTTAATTACATCACCAAGCTACTCCTGGAAGATTATCAATGACAGAGCATCCCTCAGCTGCCTCAGTATGCATCACTCAACTTTCGTCTTTTGTCTTTTCTTCATTTATCCATACTTTTCTTCCACAACCTTATGCACCTCCCCTTCCCCTTCCTCCCAATTTCAATTTTTCTCTTATCAAGACCTCAATTTTTACACTCATGTAGTCTTTGGAACTTCACTGATTGTTGCTTTTTCATGTCAGTCCTTTTTCAGAGCTCTTCTCTCCCATTTCCCCTTCAGTATCCTTTCCAGTTCCCACTTGTTAGCTTTCTATAAATTAGAAATTAAATTTAATTCAATAAAGGATGCGCACACAAATTCAAATGAAGCAACTTCCACAAAATCTATAGCACATGAACCATTTTGCAAATGAAGTCTCAGAAGTAAGCATGTTCCTTAGACGCTTGGCTGAGCTACTTTCCCAAGTTACACAATACTAAATCCTGATTTTGTCGCTAACGCCTACATTTATAATATAATTCTTTGTAGAGGTGGTCAGGATGCATAGTATTTAAGCCAGCGAAGCTTTGCTATTATCACTCATGCTATCAACCACATCAAAATTACTGTCTCTAATTCACAGTCCACTGAACTAGTTACTGACTACCAAGTGCAGAGCAGAATTTGCATAGCTCAACACAAAGAACTGTAGAAACTGTCTTAGCTTTGTAAGAAAAAAAATTCCTTGTAAGAACTAAGGAAATGGTCACAACTCTGCCCTCAAGGAGGCAACACTGCCACTCACATCAGAACTATTGCTCCATCCACTCAACACTCAAGAACAACTGTCTACATTAATTGTCTTAAAAGTCTTGATACTTCACAGCACTGAATCATCTCCGAACGCTCCTTCTGACTTCTCCCTCTCTTTATCAAACAGCCTTTTTTTGCAGGCTGAATTTGGCTAACACTTACCAAGCTCACTGTCTACATATTCCTTCCTGGGATTCCCTTCAGCCCTTAATTACCAGATCTTTTCCATTGATCTCCCGTGCCCCAGTGAATGTTGCAGCAGAAAAGCTACACATCCAAAGAAAGCGAGCTATTATTTTTCCTGCACAACGTGTCAAGGGATGTTTGAAGTTCTAAGTGAACAAAATGAGTTTCCTTTTAAATAAGTACCCCTAGAACTGAGGCGCCATAGCAATATACACGACAACAAGTAATACAACTTTAAAGCAGCTTTAAAGCTGCTGCTCATCCAATATATGGCTCTTAGAATTCCTGTAGAAACTAGACAAAGGAAATGACAAGAAGAAACTTCTGCATTAGGGCAAAGATCACATAGGTAGGCTCAGTGTAAGAAATCTTGTAAGCAACACGGAAATCTATCCTTGAAATATTAAGTAAAATATTGGACCAATATTAACTTTTTAAAGTCTATAGTAGTGTATCACAGGTCAAGTTTCGAAGCCTTCACTCAGCCTGTAAAATGTATTTCATGTATTGACACACATTACTACATACACATCACTTTCAGTGGTCATTTCAGTTTTCGAATGGCTTTAATGACAACATTGTGTAATTCTTATAAAGAATATGTCAACTAAATCTGCTATTTCAACTTCAAACTAACGAAGTTCTTGCCTGAAAATAAATACGGCAATATGCTAAGTGTCTCAATTTTTATGACACTCAGGGTAACTCTATACTCCTGTTGTTAACTGAGTCATGTGCGTGACTAAGTTAAATTATCACCATCTGCGACTGGCTTAAAATCTTTTAACAATGAACATTTCACGTTTTTCAAAATATAAACTGCAGAAGATAACTTCCAGATTACAGTTTAGTAACACACAACAAAAAACACAACATAATCTCAAGCTTACATACCTTACAGAAGCTACCAGTGCAGAGGCTTGTTTGAAAGCATCACACGTGTCCTATCTAAAGCTATGATTAAAGCTATGATTGTAGAATCATAGAATGGCCTGGGTTGGAAGGGACTCCAAGGATCATCAAGTTCCAGCCCCCCTGCCACACACATGGCCACCAACCTCCGGATTTGGTTCTAGACCAGGTTGCCTGTTCCAGCAACTCACCGCACTCTGCCAAGAACCTCCCCTTGACATCCAGTCAAAAAATTTCCCTTCTTGAGCTTAAAACTATTCCCCCTTGTCCTATCAAAACTCAATTGATTACATTAAAAAAAAAAAAAAAAAAAAAAAAAAAAAGAAAGAAAAAAGAAACAGGAAAATTCACTGCATGAGAAAATAAACCATATGATCACTACTCAGGTCTTGAAAGCAGTCTTGAGAGAAATTAGATGTCCCAGTAATGGCTTGTTTGTTTGTTTTTTATTTCCTAAAGATTCTCTTGACTATTTGGAAATTCACTGTCTCCATTCAATCCATTTTCATTGATGTAATCTCAATTTCAATCAATCCTATCCTTGAAGCAACGAACAAGCCTGTACACACAAGGCTTCTCTTGCTGCTCTCCTATTACCTCTTAATTCCTCTTTAAGTAACATTAAATAACTGCCTTTAATCGATAATGGGACATATGTTTCAGTGAAAACAGCAATCATGATGCCCTCCATCAGCCCTCCACTGACCTAAGCAGAATTCATGCTTAAAGTGAATCTTTCTAGGAAGATAATCAGGGAAGAGCATGATTATCTAGGAAAAGATATTCTGTATTTCTTCAAATTGTTTTTTGTGTATCTTTGAGCTAATGGAAAGATAAAATCATCTTTAACATAGGAAACAACCTTATCCCAGGGTAACTGAGCAAGAATTTCAGCAGAAGACAAAAGCTATAATTCTTCACCACAGAACAGAGTAAATGTTATCTTTCAGCGTAGTCTTTTCCTGGCAGCCTACTGAGGTGCACATCCTATCCAGAAGACAGCGTTTAAGACATGTTATCCTCCTCTTTTGTTCCACAGAGAAAGATTGACAAAGTCATGAATCTGCTCTCTTCCCATCACACCTGGAGCCCCGATATAGTTTCTTGCTTTCCAAAGGAAATCCTTTCTAACCTTTCACATGCAAGAATCTATAAACCTCTCCTTCTCTTCAATTTCCAGTCCACAGTACCCTTCTTTCAGGCCTCCTTAAGGAAATGCATCAAGCAGCTCTGTTCAGAGAGACTAGTGGCTGAAAAACATTCAGATGTGATGTTTATACCAATGAATAGCACGTGAACTGTGGAAGTTCCTCTGTAACACTTCCAACAACCTTAATACGTACATTTGGTCAGTATAAAAAAAAAAATGTTCATCTCCATGAAGGCTGACATTATTTTACATATACATATCTACATAAACATACATACGAAAAGAGAGAGAAAATGACCAAAGAACATCTCTGTGAAAAGTACTATACACTACAAGCTGTGATTTCCCTTGAGAATCAAGGTTCAAGTTAGACCAAACACAAATCATCGTTATTTTAATATCTCCGGGCTTTCCTATGAAGCAATTTTATTTCGGATTCCTCACAGAATAGAAATGGTTGAATGTTATGAAATTTATGTATAGAAACCCTGAAGACCTCAGCTTTAATAAAACCTCTGTTGGCAAGTAAGTTAGTGAAACAAGTTAGGAAAGTCATTTATCTAAACCTCGTCAAACAAGAAGAAATCCTCTTAGTTCAAACTCTAAATAATTATGGCCAAAAAACCCCCTAAATATACAAAAAAAAACCCAACAGATTTTTATTACTTCTTTAAGTTCTTGTTAATTTAATGAGGGATCAGTTATGAAGATCTTGCTAGAATCCATGTAAAAAAACCATAGTGAATTACAACATCTAATGCAGCTGGGACATTCCTGTTTTTCTTGATGATTAGTAAACAGGCACTAACATATTTTCTTAGACTTATGATTAGAAGAAAAAACATCCCTAACGTACCCTGAAAGTGATTTACGAACCCTTAAAACAGAGAGGCGTAACGTATATAACTTACACAACATCTGCCTTCACTGTTGCTGCACAACTGAGCTCGCTGTATTTGTTCTGCCAACTAGACCAATCATAAGACAAGTCCTTCCATTTGCTGGAAGGAGAAGTAATTATCAGACTGACAGAAGACTGAACCTGAACAACCGATTTACTTTCTCTCTCAGCTAAAAAGAAGGAAAAAAGAAAAACCAATCACGAAATAAACCCTAAGATAAACGTATATGATGCACAGAACATTATTTTAATTGCTTTGCTGTGATTTACCATACCCTAACTAGCACATTTCAGTTATTTGAATTTAAATGATCTCATAGCAAAATATGACTTATAAGTATCTCCTGTTCTTAGTTATGAAGTTCATTGATAGCTACCAGAAGAACAGACAATCTGCAGACGCGCACTGAAGACATGCCTGATTTTTATAGTACTGAAGCCACTTGTCTGCAACTTTGCTGAAAAAACAGAATTGTGCAGATTATGAATGGGTTACAATGCAATAGGACTGACTTCAGACCACACATGATTAAGAGCTATTTTACAACTTCTTTTCAGTTTTTCAACTGAAACTGGGATCCTTGCTTATTTAAAATATTTACTTTTATTTTCTAGTCTTACCTGCTTGCAATTATCAAAAGGAAAAAAAAATCACTTAAGCACTGCACAAATATTATTACAAAAAACATCCTCTTCTGTTTGGTCTGTCCAGTGATCTGTATTATACGTAATAGAAATCCACGCCCATCTTCAAACAGATACACCTATTACACATGGTTTTTAATCTCGCAATTGCTAATGTAATCACATCTTGTAAAGGGTGATATAACCTTGCTACCAGTTAATGCTTCCTGCTGTCTGTTAATTTCACAAGCCCAGATTTGAGAAGGGAATATTTTCTGATAGGCTGACAAAATTGAATATTTCAGTACTCTGTTCTACTAATCAGCCTGAAGGTCAAAGACATGCAAGACATACCATCACGTGCACTGACAGTGATGTCTTGAAAGTTACCAGGATCAGATTGAGGAATGATCTCTTGCCACATCTTTCCCCAGGTCTTCAGCTCAGCTAGCCTAGAGGAAAAGGCAGCTAAAAATGCATTTTTTTTCCTCCTCATTTTTATATTCTGACTGATATCTCATGGTATCACTTTTCTTTCTTCACTCGTAGCCTCAGAAAAGCTGCTTCAATTGTAGAACAGGAAATTTAAATTGTAAAGTCTGCCCCCGGAAATGCTAAGCATCCTCAAAGCATCCCAGTGAGGCTAAATAAACAATCACATACAAAACCTGTTATTGTCACAGCAAAAGAATTTCCGTCATGGTAAGAATGACAATGGCCCTTACAAGCATCTATTTAAAACACCCCTAATTTTAAATTTTCAACTAAGCAAAATTATATTCAGGGCTTGCTTCCAGTCATTTTTTGGCCTGAATTTCCCTTGAAAGCTCCTCAACGACAGAAAGGAAGTCGACTTTTGGAAGTTTCTTCGTTTTGTCTTGTGAAAATTCATTTGCTAAGTGATCTTTTCTTCAGGATTGGCAAGCAATTTGCTAGAAGCTGCACTCCACCATTGTCAGTGTTCAAATATAAGTTTATTAGTGTGACTTCAGATTTTTTTTCTGTGAAGAATCTGAATGGATAGTAACGCAGTCACCCAAGTTACATCACCCCAAAGACAGTGCTGCCAGTGAGAGCTATGCCTGCTCAAAACTTGGCAGCCATTGCAAAAAACATATGTGGATAATACTTTGTTAGCAAGATGTTCAACTAACATTGCTGTACATGCTTAAGGTTTAACTTCAAGCAAACGGATATCCTAGTTCAGGCCTTTACCTTTACTTAGTGTCATTTTGATTTTATGAAGAAAAACCAATACATTCTGATATATTTCACAGGGGTGCTGACAAGTGTTTCGGCTCACATGCCCAAGGCTGTCAGAAATGAAGATTGTACCACAAGCTACTGTTTCGTTATTGAAAAGTTGTCTATCGCCATTTTCTACTTGAGCTCAAGTATTACAGAAGAGATGCCTCATTTTGTACAGCACGTTTTCTAGCATAGGTATTCCTCAGGCTCCCTGAAATGTGGCAAGAAAATTTCAATGCTTAGCATTTGTATCCGAAATAAATCTTGGCACTGCAGGTTAACTGTGCTTCAGTTTTGTAGTCTTGTAGTTTTATGAATGAATGCTTACCCAGTTGTAATAGATATTAATTTCTTCATGCATCCACAAAAACAGGGGGAAACTGTTTTGTAACTAACATTATAATGCAGATTTAACAATACTTGCTTAGCCATTATAGAAATACTTACTTTCGCCTCTCTGCCTCAAATTTACTTAGCAGTTTTCGGAGACCACCGTTCTTAAATCCCTGGAAATGTGCTGCTGGGGCTCCCACAGTGATTACATCATACAGAGCATCTGGAACGAGAAAAGACAAGCAGAGAGTTTTGTCAACCCATACCCAGAGCATGGCAACACTAATCTACTCCACGATACATAAGAAGAATAAGTCTATTATTTTCAAGGAATAATCAAGAATCTGTGTCTCAAGAAGGCCCAGGAGCTAATCAATCTTTCTACACAGCCACCTGCACATATTCAAAAGTTTACCTGATTTATTACTATGTCTAAGTTATATGCCACATAAAGAAAAATACTCTAGCTCTGCAGTTTACAGAGCTACAAAGTAAATTGGTCCTTTGTGTATTTCACTTCATTACATCTTCCATTATTTAAACCGCAGTCAGGTTGAAATGCACAGATTCATGCACTTTAGAGTCGGGAGACTACTGTGATGAAATAGTCTAATACAGGTTATAGAACTACAGCTAATGATTACTGCATCGAGCTAATGTCTTGATGGTTGAGCAAACTTTTTACTATTATTTTTCATGTATTTTTGATTTCAACTTCAGGTGGCACTAAATTCTTTTTTGTCCTCAGAGAACTACTCAAACTGACCAGTAAAAATGTCCACTCTGCTTCCAGTTTGAATTTGTTTAGCTTCTACTTTCAGATATAACTACCTTCTTGACACTGCATTTAAGACTCATTTTCAATCACTTGTTAATTTTATGTATGCTTATAAACACAGCAACTGTCTTCAGATGAAAAGTTACCAAGATGTGCAATAAATATGCTGCTGAACGTGACCAACTGCTGTTACTCTGTGTGTAATGATATGCACAATCGTTTTCTTTCCTATGGATGTATGCTTACAGAACTGGAGATGCAATGCTTTTTTCGAAACTGCCTCTCATTTGGGGCTTGCAATTGTGAGAACGAAGATGAGGACAGTTCCATCCACAATCACTCTTTTAAGTTTGAATTCCCATTTGCACTAAGCAGTATCATGCTGCATTCATTGGAGGTATAAAAACACAGGCCTAACTATTGCATTTTTAAAACATTCCTCTAAAGGAAGCATTAATATTAATTTTACTTTGTTTTTAATTTTATTTTGTGAACTGTTTTATTCATCAAGGAAGCTTTCAATGTAAATTAAAATCTCACCCTCTCCTAAAATAGAACTTCTCTTGTACTCTGATGATAAATACCGCTCGAAGAAAGAACACTGTAAAAATGACTCAGAGTTAATGAACTATGTTTTACTTCCAGAGCTGAATCTCAAAACATATTCACTCAAACTGATTCCAACTCTAATGAATTGGTGGCTCGTTGGCTCTTTCTTAAAAGGAGAAGCAACATAATATCTTTAGCCTCAAGTGATATTCAAGATTCTTTAGTAGTCCATTCGTTCAGATCTTCATCGACATTTATCAATAACACAATCTTGGGCTATTGGAGCTCCACAGTTCTATTATTTAGACAACACAGGCTTGAAAATCAAGAGATGAACTTATAGTTTAATTGCGTAACGGCTTCTGAATATGTTTTCAGAGAACTCAAAACGCACGAAAATACATCCAAGACCACATGTCCTAGTGCTTTTGCTGAGTTGTTTTAAAAACACTGATTGTAAGTACCTCGGGGGATCTGCTCAGAGGAGCTTTCATTGAGACTGTAGACTCTTAGTATATATCAAGAAGCAGCTCATTCAGATGCAAACACATCCAGATCAGCTGAGCTACATCCCACTTGCAAAAAGAATGCGGGAGATTAAGGTCAGCAAAGAAAACATCTATCACCATGGTGATGGGCATGGGTTGTTCTACCTCTCCAGAATACACTGCATTGGAAAGTGGTGCCATCTTGAGAAAAATTCCCTGTGATGTGCTCTATTTACCATTTACACATCAGTGCAGCTCCTCAAGAAAGGTGTGCACTGTCAGCACAAGTGTACTTGTACAGCAATGTTCCAGTGACTCAGAACTACCACCCATGTCAAGAAAAGACAAGTGTTGACAACAATCCACAGCAGAGAAAAAGCTTAAAATGTCGCTAACAGTGATGGGAGTTGTGTCATATTGTCAGCATGCTCCACAAAAACTAAAAATTAATTGATATTTGGAAGAAGGAGAGGGAAAAGAAAAATACTTTTCCCTCAAATAATCAGTACAGAATTTAAAGGGGAAAGAAACAACACCAAAGCATTAAATAAAAGGAGGAAATTGGGCTTTTAATATTTCACTTTAATTATTCTGATGGAAAGATACATTCATCCGCTCCTTATACAAGTGAAACGCTTAGATACTTGCCAAATCACAACTCCTTCTCCTTGCAGATGTATTAACTACCTGCTCATCACTGTGTCCTGAGTAAAACAGGCGCACCATGGGGACAACCACTGCAACACAGTTCCACAAACCTTGTTTTAATCCAGTCAATTTAAAGAGCTGAGAGATTTCTAGAAGCACAGCTCAGTTTAGAACTTGAAACAACTCTCTTGCCTTCACAGGAGGCAGTCATTGTCTTGAACTGGACACAGAAGCATCTTCCCACCAAATTCATTCGAAACAAGTATGTTTTTTGTATAAACGGGGACAAAATCAGAACTATATATATATATACATATACACTTTTATGTTCTGCAGTATGATGAACAGACCAAAAAGTTGTGCTTAACAAATAGATAGGGATACAGAAAACAGTTATTTCAGAGTAAAACGGTATTTTTCTCAAAGATGTTCCTACTGGAAAGTTAAACATACAGCTATCTGCTATTCCAAGTCGGTACTGTATAATAACCTCAATCAAAGGTCAGTAAAAGCAACCCTACTATTGGAAATGCTGAACAAAACAGTACGTATCCATAGGCATGCATATGATAAGATGTGATTAACAACTACCTTGCATCCCCAGACAGAAAGTATCTGAAAGCTTAAGGGTTAAACGACTGCTTTATGGCTCACGTGCTTGCGTGAATGGTTCGCCCTTCCTGTGATACTCTGGCTGCCATTTGATACACGACAAGCAAAGGTGACGAGGAAAAGGATCAACCTGATGTCAGTGTGCTGCTCACACCAGAACGAGCAGCAAATGATACAAACTGTTCAAAAACATCACCATATAATACAAGACAAAGCTCTTCAGTGCTCATAAAAAGAAACTTATTGCAGTAAACCAAACAGATGGGATACTGAGTAATTGATACAAAAACCATTTATCCAACAAAAACCAAGTACAATCACCTTCAATTTTCTTCTGTCATTGTTATAATATAGTGCTACCAAAACATCCTAAACATACTGACGAGTTAATTTAGTGTAAAGGGAAATAAAAAGAGTCCCCTATAAGTAAGACATCAATTTTAAAAAAACATATGCATATATACATCTGATTTTAACACAAGTTCTCATCATTATTAATGCTTCACAGTCACCAAAGATGAATGTAGCTAGAACAATGTTACGCAATTCTCTCCTTAAGAAAAAAGGAAGAGTTTTAGAGTTTAAAGAAATATCTAAATTGAGAAGAAAATTCTGATAATTTTCTAGTTTCAAGACAAAATGGAGAAAATTAGCCAAAACCAAAATAAATTAGTGCTAAAACCGTAGATAAATAGCATGGTTCATTCTTTGTATGTTGTAAAGTCAACTTTACAACTTAGCAAATAAAAACACTATTCCCAAAAAGGTTTTCTTGAAACAACAAAATTAGGGCTACAAATTGTCAGCAATTTCATCTGTAACTACTTTTGTTAGAGTTACTAACTAACTTCAAAACATTAGATTAATTAGAAGTCATGCTGTCATGTTCTGTCACACTGTAAAGATTTTTAAAGGCACAGTTCTTCAGTATTAAAAAAAAAAAAAAAAAGAATAGTCAACTAGTACAGTTCTAACAGGCAATAGCAAGTCTCTTTCCCTCTACCCTTAAGTGGAGGAACATCACCAATACATAACGTGACAATCCGGTAATTATTGTTTGTTTTTACAACGTTAGTTACTCTAGAAGTAATTTCACTTAATTATTTGCATGGCCACTACAACAGATACTAAGATACAATAACACTAATTAATAGAGCAAATTCTCAGGGACAAAGCGCTGTTCTTTCAATGCTTTCGCCACCATTAGTGATGCATTTTTGCTAGCCATCAACAAGAGCCTGCATACCACGCTCATAAAAATCCACACTGGCAGAGGTGACCTGCTGTTTCAGAGCAGCTGCAACGGTGCCTTTGCTAGGAAAATGCTGCCTACGCAGTCTGTCTTTCATCAGTCTGACCAGATCCATGTCTGAATTCAGATTCTATGGATCTTATATTGATCTAGGTATTATATGGTGGATGGGGCAGGACAGTGCAGCCAGGATTGGCTACGTGCTCCACAGTCTTCCAACTGCTGTGGGGCCTGGTGTTACCGTGTTGCAAGAGAAAGATTGTGTTTTTCTCTGGCCTGGCTCTAGAATTTCCAGCTTTCAGCTTATTCAGGACAGCAATGTACAAGTCAGAGCTTATGTTTCTTCTGTACTTCAGGAAATCCATAATGATCACCCCTCTCCTATCCCAGAAGACAGTGCACATCATTCTATTTGCTCAAGGCTGTGCCTCTAAGACCACTTTTGGAGACCACTGTCTGGTCTCCAGAAATGTTCAGACATGAAATAATGTCAATGGGTGCAATGTTTTCCACAGAGAGGAATTCAGTGACGCATTTTTGCTTCATAAGCACTTTCACATTAGATGCCATTTTACTTGAATGTCCTTCTGCTGCCATCTGTCACATGGCAACAAAATTTAACAGGATGTTGTCAGGAAGGTTCAGCCTCTGCTGCTACACCAATATACACCTCTGATGTGGTGGGCCAATGTAATAAAATGGGAGGCATTGCTTTTGAAACAGCTCTAATATTATATAATCTGCCTAGTACAAGATTGTACTGCTAAGACACCTTAGGAAGTGTAATTTGTACATGTGTAGAGTGCATGCAAATTCAACAGATCTCTGTCTATAAGGCATTCACTATACTATGGTCATCTAATATCATGTTGCATTTGCATAGGATGCTGCTAAAACTACATCCAAGGAGCAGACTTCTCTATTAAATGACAGAACACGTTATTGGAAATTATCCCCACTTTCCAGAAGGTATAAATACTCTTCTTTCACGATAATTCTGAGGTAATTGCATTTAAAACTAAGAAAATGCTTACATAGCAGAGAATAGCACTGAAAGAGCTCATTTAGACAGGAGCAGAACTGGGTTCATTAAGGATTCCTAGGAAATAGGATACGTTAGGTTTAGAAATAACATTTTTCTTCGTGGCTATTTACATCACCTATGCTGATGAGTCCGCCCTACAATCTCTAGGAAGAAACTTAGCATGCTCTACCACTATCTCCAGTGCCACAGTGAAAAGAAAAACACCTCAGAAACAAGAAAGGTAAGACAGGCTTTTACACAACCAATGGCACTATAGATCATAATGAAAAATTCAGTCACTGCCCTAAACACATGTGAATACTACTGAACATCATGCAGCACGTCAGTATGAAACAATACAGTATTAGATCTGCACTGGCACAACTGAATATCTTTAACCACACTTACAATTACAAATGTATTCCAATGCACATATATTCTGTGTGTATTTGTATTAGAAGTCATAAGCACAAGAAGAGCATGAAACTCCTGAAATTCTTACTGGAAATAATACAATAGAAATTTAGTTAACCCCTCAGTTTTCCAAGATCTGTGGTCAGTATCAAAAGCTTGTGGCTTCAGAAGACGAAGCAAGAAAACATCGGACATGATTTCTAGGTTTCAGCACAGACTCATAGCTTTCATTAGTCTCAGCAGTGGGTACGTGTGCATGTAGGATTCAAAATTCCTTAGAGATATGTGAAGGAAGAGGTAGCTGGTCATTTCTTTGTTGTCATGATTTACTTACGAGTTGTTCTCTAAGGAAAATACATATTCAATTTCTTTAGAAATACCTCAATCAACTTCTTAGATATTTACAGGCAGACAAACAATCCTGAGAGTAAAATTCAGTCAAGCAGGAGAGCAGGCAGGTTCCATATTTGGACATAAAACAATGACAGGAAGTGTCCACACTGAGTTTCTAGGGACCATTAAATGAAGTGAATAATTAAATACCTCTACAGCAGTACAAGTTTTTAAATAATGAATTCATAAACTCCATCTTATTAGAAAGGCTGAAAGAGCTGCTGCTGTTCAGCCTGGAGAAGAGAAGGCCCTGGGAAGACTTGATGGCAATTTTTCAGTATTCTAATGGGGGGCTATAAGAAAGGAGGGGACAGACTATTTAGCAGGGTCTGTAGTGAGAGGACAGTGGTTTCAAAATTGAAGAGGGGAGATTTAGATTGAATATAAGAAAAAAGATTTTTACGTTAAGGGTGGTGGACACTCCAGAACAGAGAGGTGGCGGAAACCCCATTCCTGGAGACATTCAAGGTCAAACTGGATAGGAGTCTGAGCAACCTGATCTCGCTGTAGGTGTCCCTGTTCACAACAGGGCAGTTGGACTAGATGACCGTTGGGGGTCCCTTCCAACTCTAATGATTCTATGATTATCAGGAAAAGAAAAAACAATAATACAACAAGGAATAGTCATACAGCAAGTCCATATCATGGGATACTGCATATATCTTACACTAAATTTGAGTGGAGGGCAAATTAAAAACCATATGAAATTAATCTCAAAATTTTCTTTAAAAGTCACCCTTCCCAGTGAAATTACTTCTTCCTCAATGGTATTCCAAATTCACTTAAGTTCAAATTGCAGATGAATTTACTGAAGAATCAATTTTCTACACCAAAACTTGCTGTCTTTTTTTTTTCTGAAGCATTTTTACATTTCATCTAAATAATTGAACAAAACTGTTGCTGGTATCCTTCAATTAAGTGAAAAAAAATCATCGACATTCAACTCTCTAAACAGACTGCCTTTCAGGCCTACAGTGGTTGTACGGTTTTATCCAAAAGCTATACATCCACATGATGTTGACTCTTGAAACTGGATATATAAATTTACATTTTTGCTTCTTAAAAAAGGCTAAAATGAAAACCATAGCTCTCAGCTGTCAGTTTAATTGCATTTTTAAGTATACTTTGTCATACTTAGGGGATTTCTCTGCAAACCATGCTTTACCTTTCAATCGAGGACTATGCACATGCATCCTCTGCAGATGGAGATTTATTGGGATGAATTCTAATGTTTTTTCTCCTTTGCTACAGCTTGACTTGAAGGAAGAACCTGAAAAAAAAAAAAGTTTAAAGAATCATTATCTTAAGCACCCTGCAGATGTTTTGTCTTCTTTTTAATGTGAGGACAATACTCGTAGACTTCCTTAATTTACTTTTAATGTGTAACTGTATATTAGGAGAAGAATGGTTCACTAACTGAGTCTCAGCATGTATCCATATTGCAAGCAACAAAACAGCTTTTAATTCACATAACAATTTAATTTTTTATTCTAGGTGATACGCATATTTTTCCTGCGGCTTGAAATAGGTCTGCTAGAAATAATGCCACAGTTAATGGGCATTATGTTTATTCTGTTTGAAAAACACAGTGGTACAGAGCTACGATAGTACGACATTTTCACCAACTTTTTTTTTTATCAAATGAAAAATATTACAGTGACTGAGCCGTGTATTCTTCGTAGAAAGCTCCAATTATAGAAGCATAAAATGGCTTAAGAAAAGCTATGAACTCCTATTCTTAAAAAAATCCAGTATCAGAAAAAAAGCACAATGCTCTCAAAAAAAAAACCAAAAACCAACAATCTGGCTACGCTTCAGAAGGACGAGATTACAAGCAACTCTATGGTGGTAGAAAGGTATACAATCAAAGCCTCATGTGAATAAACAAGATTTACCTGGAGATATTTAACAGTGCACATATACAAAGGCACAGGTCATCTATAAGTAAAGAGAGGTGATCGTACATTCTCACTCAGGCAGCACAACTAAGATAGGTTTTTCAGCATCCTGCCATCTTACCTGTTAATTGTTTAAAATAAAATTCCTTTGATATTAGTTCTGATTTCAATCTCCAATTTCTCTCCATTCCCCCACAAAAACACCTGAAAAGGTTTAACATTTTCTTGTGTGTAGGGAGAAAAACATGCATTTGAAATTCTTTACTTGCTCAGACAGAATTTCCCATAGCTTATCTGTTTGAACTGCTGCGAATTCCAAGGCAACTAAGCATGTTTTAGACTCCCAGTGCAAATGTTGCCAGATGGCACCAATGACGCCACAAAGCAAGGCTACAGAGGTACTAACATATTTGCAAAATGCTAAGCAAGGAAAAGGTACTTTGTCTATGAGCTGTAGACCTGCATAGGCTGCTTAACAACTCAAAATAATAATAATTTGAAAGAAGATGTAGAGCAAAGGTTGTAAAAAGCTATTGTTAGGAGTAACTGATTCAGATTTGATAGAAAACCAGGGGGTTCAGTGCGCTCTCAGTAAGCTCACACATGACAAAAAATTGGGAGGAAGTGTTGATCTGCCTGAGGGTGGGAAGGCCCTACAGAGTGATCTGGACAGGCTGAACTGATGGGCTGAGGCCACCTGTATGAGACCATAGAGGGCAGGTGCAAAAATGCATCTTAATGGTCACTCTTTTTGGCTGCAAATCCTGCATTCTCATCCTAGGCACGCATCTTCAAAGCACTTAACATAGTCTTACCCACCTGTGCCTTCGTTATTCCTATTACTCAAACATAACTTCTGCAAAGACCACTTTAATGTCTCCGTAAAGATTACAACATATTGGAACATCAGGTAACTCCTGAAGTCACAAGTTTCACCCCATCTGGTCAGCTGTTAGAGCTAGCATTTTGCCTGCACTACCCATATTTTCACCCATGTGCCCAGGAGAAGATGGCTTTCTGTCACTACACCACAAAAGAACTGCAAGTCATTCAAGTTCAGTACAAAAAAAAGCAGGATATGCCCTGAGCTGTCACAAGATTTTAAAAGCAATGTGTGTAGCTATAGTTGGATAGAAGTTCCAATCTAAGTACAAGCCATATAGACTAATACTGCCAGAGAAATGAAATGTAAAAGCAAAATGAACTCTCAGCCACCTTTAAATCTGTTCCAGATTTCACTTGAATTTTAGGCAGCAAAGTCCTTCATTGCATAGAGGATTAAAATACAAATTTGGTGTTCTAGTCTGACTCTGTACACATATATAAAATTAAATTCCCTTTCCCCCACCCCTTCCCTACCCTATCTCCACCTCCACATACGTACGGTATATCACGTAAAAAAAATGTTAGATCTTTGTGGAACTCTGAAAGAACAGTTACTGCCCAAAGGATTTATCTTCTAATTTAATTTGTGTTTCAATATGAATAAATATAGTACAGGACTAAGTAAATATTGTTGTCTTCACAATTACTGTACTATTCATAGGTTCTAGAATGTACAGACATACCACTGAGCTTTTTAACACAAATTTTAACACACCAAAAAAATAAGGATTTTCCCTAATACAGTTATTCTACCAACAGCATATTACTGAGGAAAAAAATAGTTCAAGACATGAAATCTAGTTATGTCCCTCAATGTTGACCTCCAACTTAAAACCTCCTCATTTAGCTCAAATCTTCAGTACAATTATTAGACTGCTTACTTTTGAAAGTCAAGTTCCTACTTTGTTTCATGTGCTGGCTCTATCCTCTTCAATAACATTGGGTTCCCTGGTCCGCCACAGTTAGAATTATAAATCATCAAGTCCATCTCTTGGCTCCATACAGAACCACTCAAAAATCAAACGATATTTCTGAGTGCTTTGGCCAAACACTTCTTGAATTCTGTCAGCCTGGTGCTGTGACCACTGCCCTGGGGAGCAAATCCATGCCATTCCCTATCACTGTCACAAAAGAAGTTCCTGAGGAAACTGTAGGCCATCACAAGACCTGCTCTCAGCCTCTTCTTCTCTGAGCTGAACAAGTGATTTTAGTCTCTCACCATAGCACCTTGCCCTCTAGACCCTTCACCATCTTCCTTTTGGATGCTCTCTAAGGTCCTCTGTATACTGTGGTGCCAAAACTGTACACAGAGCTCCTGGTCAGGCTGTCCTACCCTATCCATCAGCCAATTGCTCACCCATCACATTATGATCTCGTCTAAGTGTTAGCTGGATATTTTGTCCATAAGAATACTCTGAAAACAATATTGAAGGCTTTGCTGAAATTCGAAAAGATTACATTAACTGATTTTCCTTGGTCAACCGGGTTCATAACCTTGTCCTAAAAGGAGTTTATATTAAACAGGACTCTCCTTTTTTGAACTCACGTTGGCTATGACTAGTTATCTTTCTATCTTTATCTTTGTCACAATAAAGGTCTTGCACAATTTATATTACTTTTTTTTTTTCCCCCTTTTTTTAAATCCCAAAAGGTCATATTAATGTTTTCCTCAAAGTGTTAATTAACATACTGATTCCTTTCATCATCTGTATGATTCCTTGCATATTATATTTCACGGAATGCTTTCAAAATCTAACTAACAAAGCATTAAAAAATATGTATTAGTTAAAATGCTAAAATTTAAGTCATTTCACATAGTAGTCTGACAAAAACATAATTGGGATATTATGATGATGGTAAGCAATCATAAACGAGAAATTGCAGTTGTGCAACCAAAATGCTATTGATTATCCCACATTTAGTGTAACAGATGAGCTTCCTCCCCCACTGCTACCAAAACGTTTTGTTTCAGTTAAGGGCTTTTTTTGTTGACACACTAAAACAGGATTTCTCTTTTCCTGTAACTCCCCCCCAAAAAGCTATCTCTGAATAATATGAGGTTACAAATAACGTGCTCAGTTTTCTACTATAAGGTGATGGATAACAGATAACCTGACAGTTTTAATGATTATTTTGGAAAAGAAGGATTTGTGTCTCACCTACTAAATGCACTAGTTAAGTTATAAAAAACTTGCCCAATTCTGTGAAAGAAAAATGTAGTCTCTAAAACTATCTAGTTGTATACTGAACTGAAGTCATACAGTTTCCTCAGTAAATAAAAAAAAAGGGGGCTTTTTTATACAACTGGAAAAAAGCTAGGAATAGTTAAAACAATGCAAGTTAACCCTTGTAATTACCTAATATTTCAGAAGATGTAACCAAACACTGTATATGTAAACACAATGCACAAAGTCCTGCTAACCTCTGGCAAGATTATACATACAGAGTCACATAACTAATAATGAGAATACAGAGTGAAACAGCATATCCAATAATATCAGCACAGCCTTAGAAAATGCATATTAAGGTGGAGATCATGAGCATCACTAGCAAGAAAGCAGCGACAAGGCCTCTGCAGTCACTCAGAACACAATTCCAGAACACACATTTCCACAATTGCTTCCAGAACAATCTCAAAAGCAACAGTGGAGGTGGAAGGCATGCCACGAACAAAAAAATAGCTTGCTCAAAATAGAGCGTTAGCCATGAAGTAATCCAGCAGTCTTCCCAAATAAAAAAGAGTTATCCTAAGTTCTTTAAATTATTTGTGAACAATCAAAATAAATTCGAAAGCATAAATACTTTATTCTGCAGTATTTTCTTGTTCATTTTATGAAGAATTTTACAGGATGAAAAGACCCATTGCCTCTCTGTACATTTGTCACTGATGCTTTCTTAACTCGCGTGTGGGTACTACAATACATGACATTCCACAAGATCCTGACAAACATAACTGAACACCTCACACGCATCAGACCACTACATGTGGAAAAAAAGCAAAAGTATTACACAGTGCTACTTCTGGACTGTGGGCAGACTGTGCACCCTACATAAATTACGTGCTTTTCTGACGTGACCTGGGCAATGACAAATGCATTAAGAATATGTAAAACGTGTTACAGTTCTTCTCTATACTCTTAAATGCAACCTGTATTTCAAAAAACCTGACAGAACTCCCTAAGACTGTTTCCAGCTGTCAGATGGTACTCAATATTACTAGAGCAGTACATTCAAGGGAATATGCAGTTTAAAGAGGCACAGCCACTTTTAAAAAACAACAGAAGAAGCAGGAAACCTCTTGTTATGTCAGAAATGAAGTGATTATATTGTTTTTGTATGTTTCATTTCTGCTGAGTATATTAGTATATCATAAGCATTGACTAGGTTGACAGTTAAATTTTCTAGCTGAGGGGAGGCTCCTTCCATACCTGTATGTTTTCCAAGCTCTGCGAGGGTATCCTGATACATGCTCAACATCTGATCACAGTGAGCAATAACACTTTTGCGCATATTGTCCCAGTGAGGTGCAAGCTCTCCCAAGTCTTTAAGCTCCTGATTCCTGTATCAAAAGGCAAAAAGAGACGGCTTTAATTCCTTAATCCATTAACACTCATCCAAATGAATCCAATTAATCCAGGATAGTTTATTAAGAAACATCAAAAGCCCTACCCAATTGAAATAAAATTATTATCTCGGGTCTGTTTTCACGCCTCTTACTAAGTTTGCTGATTTCAGCTCTATTTTTAACCATGCAATAAAGAATGTCAATTCACTGAATACTACAATAATTTAACATTCAAAACTCATCTGGTATAAATGCAATGGTCTGCAAAGTGAAATATTGTTTCTTCCCTGTAGGCAAGAATGCTTTCAGGCTCCAAAGAACTGTGTCCACAATAAGAAATACTTTGTGAAGACACATTAAGCACCACTGCATAGAGTACAAACTACACTCCTTTTCCAACAGTTCCATTAAAGCTGCTTTATAAGGTCTACTCTTTGGATACTCTCATACACATGTTGTGGAAGTATTTCTACAAAGGTCTGTTTATGTATCAGTACAGTAGTTCTGTCACATGCCCCCTACACCAAACTTGCTCCCCTCCAAGCTTTTCTTCCCCCACGTTTCTTTATTGTAAAACAGAACAAAACAGCAAGTGACAATTTCTCTAAAACGTAATCTTCAGCCTTACAGCTGTGCTCATCAGGTCGAAACAGCAATGTTATGGTAACCACACACGACACTAAAACGCAAAAGGAAATCCTTCAGCAAATTATCTGTCTTCCTGTACACTCTCTTGGGAGTCAACCGGACCAAAGTAGAGCTCACTAACTTCCTAGACTAACCAGCACAGTCACTTTTATTTTTTTTCCCAAACAATAATCAATCCAATATTTTGGATTTGGATACTATTTGTGTATTGCGAGTTTGTCACACTGGTGACTCAGTGCAACTCTGTTCTCAGTCACGGCTAAAAAGAGAATGATTTTTTCCACAGTTAAGTTCCATCAACAGTACTTCACAGCACCAAGCCTTATCGGAATTGTTGGCAACCCTCAACGAAAAGGATAAATAACAGAAACAAAGTACTTTGGAAATTATGCAATTTAAAAGCCATGCTAATACCCCGTGATATTCAAATTCTCTCTTTTTATATGTATATGTTTATATATACATATGCATTTCTATATAATATATATAAATATATGTATAAAATATATATTTTAAATATATATGTATCTTTGAAGTGTTTTTAACAATACTGCCATGTGTTATACCAGAACTTATTTCACTGAATAGATTCAAAATACATCCCCAAACAGTAAACACATTAAATAACCACTGTGAAATTGATGGAAATCAGTATTTTTAATATATTTCAGACATCCCAAAGGACAAGTAACTAATTAACGTTTTCAATTCAAGCATGGGATTTGGAACAATTTATTAACACAGCAGTAAGTTTGCAGCAATCTCAGTATCGTACGAGGGCTGCTCCAAAAGTAATGCCTCCTACTTGCTTACATTGGCCCACAACATCAGACATAGATATTGGAGATATAGCAACCGAGTGTGAACCTTCCTGACAGTATCACGTTACATTTTGTTACCATGGCAGCAGAGGGACACTGGTAAAATGGCATCTGATGTGGAAGTGCATATGAAGCAAAAGCGTATCACTGCATTCCTCTCTGCAGCAAACACGGCACCCCCTGACATTCTTGGATGATTCCTGAACATTTATGGAGACCAAACAGTGGATGTGAGCTCAGTGAGGCTGTGGGTGGTGTGTTTCAGCAGTGATGACAGTAAAAGACAATCCATGTTTCAGATTGTCACAGACAGCCATCACACCACCACATGAAGAGCATCTCCATCAGCACATCCACACAAAATGGGAGATGACAGCCATGGAACTGCGAATGGAGCTGGATACTGGCTTGAATGCATTGGAAATGATGGTAGCAACATCGGAAAACAACAGTTTGCACTAGGTGGGTGCCACAAATGCTCCCTCAGGAACAAAAACAACATTTCTGAAGCCCAGAAAAAAACACCAGCTCTGACCTGTACATTGCCATCCTGAATATGCTGAAAGCCAGAACTTCCAGATCCAGGCCAGAGCAGAAGACAATCTTTCTCTTGCTACATGATAACACCAGGCCCCACAGCAGTTAGAAGACCGTGGAGCACATGGCCAATCTTGGCTGCACTATCCTACCCCAACCACCATATATTATCTGGATCCACATTAGATCCATAGAATCCGAATCTGGTACCTTCTGACTTCCATCTGTTCAGACTGATCAAAGACAGACTGAGTAGGCAATATTTTCCTAGCAAAGCCACTGTTGTAGCTGCTCTGAAACAGCAGGTCACCTCTGCCGGTGTGGAGTTTTATGAGCGTGGTATGCAGGCTCTTGTTGACGGCTAGCAAAAATGCATCGCTAATGGTGGCAAAAGCGTTGAAAGAACAGCGCTTTGTCCCTAAGAATTTGCTCTGTTAATTAGTGTTATTGTGCTCTTTGTATTTGTTGCAGTTTACACAGAAAAAAAAATAGAAAGCATTACTTCTAGAGTTACCTAAGTAAAATACATCTGTTTATCATTTTCTTCACTCACTCCAAAACCTCTCTCTTTAGGTCTTTTTCAGGCAATTTGTTTATCAACATGACAAATACCGTGCTCAGCATCATCTTCAACCCTTCTTACAGAATCAAACTCAAGCTCTGCTTTCTAAATTTTCTTGTTAAGCCCCACAAACTGTCTACATGCCAGTCTTTTCTGACCCTGCTGTCCTTGTTTCAGCAGAGACAGAACTGCTTTTCTTCAGAGCGTCCCGTATGATGCTACATTTTGGTTCTGGCAGAAAAACAATGTTCCTAACACACTCATGTTTATAGTTACTGCTAAGCAGTGCTGTACAGAGCCAAGGCCATTCCAGGTTCTTGTCTCATACTCAACAAGGGCTGCGAGGGGGCAGAATTAGGACAGCTGACTTCAACTGGCCCAAGGGATATTCCATAATATCCAACAATAACAAGATGACAGGAAATGGCTTTTATCTGGACGAGGGCAGATTCAGACTAGATATTAAGAAAAAAACCTTTACCGCGTGAGTGCTGAGACAGTGGAACAGGTTGCCCTGTGACATCATGGATGCCCAAGCCTTAAAGGGGCTCAAGACCAGGCTGGATGGGGCTGTGAGCAAGCTGGTCTTGAAGGAGGCATCCCTACTGATAGCGGGGGTTGCAACTACAAGATCTTAAAGGTCCCTCCTGATGCAAACTATTGTACAATTCTATGATATCATGCTGAAGAAAAGTTATGAAGGGGGTGGGAGTTCATCTTTCTCTTCCACTGTTCAAAGGTCTAGGTCATGATGTCAGCAGGTGATGAACAATTGCTTGTCCATCACATTATATACATTCATATATATATATACATCATACGTGAAATCAGAGCAATCAGCTTGAGTCGGACTTTTAAGACAACGCTTTTGCTTCTATCATAAAGCTGAAGCAACATTTACCTCTGAGAGTTTTTATTCAGAACTTTCTTTCAGATTAAAGTCGTGGACGTGGCAAGATTCATCACATTATTAACTGCATGATTACTCAAGCGCCTAAGTACTTTCATGGGTGCTTTTTTATTCCAATTTACTGATCAGTACTCATTCAAAAACAATGCGGACCTTTATGACTTGAGTAAAAACAATATTATGTAAAACTATTAAAATCATTCACATTTTAATGCCTCTAACTTATATTCTCTGCATCCCCGAGTGACATGAAATGACAAAATTGCAGACGACTTTGTGCCATCAGAAACATAACTATTACCTATATACTACCTACATCCACACAACAATTTCACCATGCCCTTGTTCAAAACAAAGTAATTTTTAAAATAGCATGCAAAGATTCAGAAGACCAATGTCCACTCCAACTATTTTTTTTATTAAAAGGCAAAAGCAATGCACACGTCTTCCTAACAATTCAAAATTTTTCCTCGTTCCGGAATGCTGCATGAAAGAACTCCCAAAACAGACTGCAAAGTCTGTATTGTACTGACCAGCAGAGATCACACAAAAAAAGTAAGCTGGACTTGAGACAGGCAGCCGTTCCTGATGCAGCAGGAAAGTTGGAATATGCCAGTTCAAGTATGAAAGAAATAGGTATGGTAGTTTCTGCTTTAGTTCCACAATTCTCTTGCTATGCTGATTTAGTGCAACACAAGCTGCTTCTACAACTACAAGCTTAAATTACACAGGCTGACAAACTTTCTGAACTAGTTATTGTAAACTACTAGCCTTTTTCCTAATTATCGTGTTAGAAAAACTAGTTTGCTAGTCTTGTGGGATGAATGCAAATGAGAAGATCTGTGTCAAGAAATACTTCGGAGAGTGGAAAGTACTCATTGGAAAGCCTGGAGAAGGTAACTTTTTTAATAAAAAGCAGAAAAGTAGACTAAATTACCTTTTTTAGAACAAAAAAAATGACCACAAAACTCCTATTGAAACTTCTTCCAAGGAGGTCCGAAGGTTAGTATCAAAAATGGAAGAATATTGTTAAAAGCATTACACCATACTAAAAAACAATGTTAAATCCTCTCAGAGGTTACATATTTCAGAGAATCAAGTTTAAAAAAAAATGAAACTACTCTGTTCTTAACAAAGAACACTAGTTTAATCAAGCGATAAACTATCTTCAAACTTACGAAAAAAACAGAACTGTAATACTGAATAGGTTTAACATTACAGTTGGATATTATAAGTAACTGCTTTACACCTGACAATATTGAAGCAACCTGACTAAACTGAAGGAATAAAATGAAACATGCTAAACATAGTACGACATGGGCTGAGACAAAAGCATTTATTCCTTCACACTAACCAGGGAAAAAACAACAAGTAGAGATGAGTACTTCAGAAAGAATAGCCTTGAGAAAGTACAGTCTAAATTTTTTAAGAGTTCAAGGACAAGCATAACAATTTTCTCCTTTAACTTACTACTTTCCAAACGTATGCAGTCTGCAGGAGTACACATCTTTGCAATTACTTCAGACAGCAAACCATGTACAAAGCTGAAGCTGCAACCTAAGTGATTATACACTGATAAGCGACACAGATGTCCCTACTCCATCCCAATCTCCTATATCCGACCAAAAGTTCCCTCTTCTCTCTATTTTTTACCTCCTCCTTCAGACTGATGCAACCAACTTGTTCCTCTCACTGTCACACCCAAACTTCTAACCAGGCTTCACAGCTAACCACACAGGCAGTCAGAAAAACCAGAAGCACATGCTTCAATTGTCAAGCCATATTTAAGTATGTTTCTTCCTCAGAGCATTTCTTTGTTTCAGTGGGTATTGGATGATCATTTAACAGACAAACAATAAGACAATACTATGAGTTGTTCCAAAGAGATGAATGCTATAATGTGAAACAACACCAAGTACTGGTATTTGCACAGTGGTTTTGGAAATGATAATGCATAAGAAATAAAAATGGTTAAAGTAATTCTCTAACTCCTAAATAGCATTTATCTCTTGGGAAATCTAAATTTGAGTAGCAGATGGGCTATACAGTCACCATGATCTATTTTTATTGCTTATTAAAAAAAACCCTTACGTGTTAATATTCTCAAACAAGATCTGGTCATGAACACCTAATCATGGTACTAATGAAAAAAAAATAATCAAGTATTATACCAATTCACATATACTTTTAAAACCCATCATCACTACAACTAAGTCCATAGCAGTCTACTGACTTATTACATGCAAGATTGTGGACTGTCACAAAAAGAAAACCACACAGATGCAGTAGATGGGCTTAACGGCTATTATTAAGACTGGAACCCCTACTGCAGGACCTCTTGCAAACATCCACAGGCCAGGTTTCCTGCTGGGTTGCTGAAGAGGGGTTACCTGAAAGCACACAGGTTACCTTAGTGATGCAGCATTAGCTCACAAGGCTACTCTTACACGAGACAAGATGTCCACTTATGTGAGGCAAGTGCAATGGCAAAAGTAGCAACATTTTCCTGCATCATAGAGCACTACTGGGAAAAACAGTTAAGCATTTAGGGAAGCCCGAGACCACTTGAAACCTTTTGCCCCATCGGACCAGCAGAATTTACAGTTCTATTTAAGGGCAAATTGCAGTTTTAGCACATGAAGTGGGAATTTCAATATACAAAGAGTTTAAGGCCACTAGTGCTCCCTCTCTTTTTCCCAGGCCATTCACACAGCATTGGTTTTGTAATGCCTTTCCTAACTAAAAGGCCCAACATGAGCTAAGGTAACAAAATTCAACTATTTTTATAGATTTTTCTCATGTCAATTAAGGTAAATTAGCTAGAAGAAAAGCGATTTATATTCTCATTGCTTCTTCACTAACTACAAACATACTACTTGCCTTTGCTTGCATAATATTTGAGAAATGAAGCACTGCCAAAGTACAAAACAAAACACTACAATATAGTTCACACCCTTGTCATGTTTTGTTTCTTTAAAAAACGTTGGCTTTTCCAAAAATGCTATTAACCGAATGTTGATCCTTATGCATTTCAAGTCATGACTGTACTCTAAAACAGATCGCTGCTCAGAACTTACGATTCACTACAGCCTTAGAGAATTCTGACAATTCTGTTGTTCAGCTTCACCTGTAAAGCCTCACAAATCCAAAGACTCACAGAATCACAGAAGCACCAAGGTTGGAAAAGACCTTCAAGATCACCAGTCCAACCATCCACCTATCACCAACAGTTCTCATTAAATCATGTCCCTCAACACAAAATCCAAATGTTCCTTGAGCACCTCCAGGGTAGGTGACTCCACCACCTCTTGGGCAGCCCATTCCAGTGCCTGACTCTTTCAGACAAGTCGCATTTCCTAACATCCAGCTTAAATCTCCCATGGCGCAGCTTGAAGCCATTCTCTCTATTTCTATCAACATTTACAAGAGAGAAGAGGCCGACCCCCAGCTCACTGCACCCTCCCTTCAGGTAGTTATAGAGAGCAATAAGGTCTCCCCTGAGCTTCCTCTTCTCCAGACTGAACAATCCCGGCTCCTTCAGCCGCTCCTCATCAGGCCTGTGCTCACATCCCTCACCAGCTTTGTTGCCCTAAAACAGTACACTCGGCCTATTTCATAGTTTAAATTAATATTTTTAGCCCATCGTGTATTTTATTCTCACGAAGAAAACACGTACTGTTTACTACTGCTCATCCTTTATTCGTCATCCTTACCTTGTCATATCCTCCTTTATGTGTAGATTGATCAGTTCTTTAGGAACATGGAAGGACAGGATGGTCTCAGCCATCTGCTCCCGGATCCGCATCCACTTGTTGTCAGAAGTAGGAAATCTGTACAACTTACAGATAGGGTTTTTTAACACTGCAGGGAAGAAAAATTATAAGGTTGCTTTCCTGCGGTTATATGACTGAAAATTTATGAGAACAAAATATCTAAAAACAATACATTATTTCCTCCTGTTGCTTGCAGAATTACTTTCAAAGCCATTAAGAATCTATTAAACACATTAGTATTTTATTTATTATAGCAGCACGTAGAGGACCAAGTTTTGCTAATATAGCAGATAAATCACAGCAGGTATTCTGCGAATTTAGTACTTCAGTGCAGTAGAAAGAGAAGTTATGCTCTCTATTCTTATACTTAAGATACAGCTAGGAAAAACAAAACGCACAATTAAACAATGAACTTGTCGCAGTCAGTGCTATCACCTACTATCTGCTAGAATCACATGAATAATAAATTTCACTGGACAAGTGAAGAATGTCCTGCAGCTTAGCAGTATTCGATGCATCTTCTCCATGATACGTATGCAAAGGAGTCACTAATGTTAATAGATGAGGTGTTCCTAATGTTAATGGAAACTTTACCACCGATATGATGAAGAAATTGGTACTTCATAGAAATAAAGATTACAATCCTGCAAATGTATTATATGCTCTATTCCCAGATTATGGCTGTAACTCATAGCTTGGCATAAGAAAATCAAAATATTTAGGAAAACTAAGATGCTTAATGTTTTAGAAGTTTATCCTTAAAACCCACAGTGTTTTTCACCTTAAAGCTCTTGCACCTTGGCAATATTTCTGCTCTGACCTCTCAATCGTGTTCCGATGGGAAATTTCTGTGCTCTCCTTTCTTCCCCAAATCCACCCCACTCTCAACCGTTGGGAAAAAGCTGAGATAGGAAACTATCATTTGACTTCGTAAGTAAGTTTCATGGGACACAAATTACTGTCATTAAACGCACACATTACCAGCTTGCTAATGCAGAATGACTTCAGACAGCCATTCAAAACCTCCATAAGTACTTTTCTACTGCCAGCCTTATGGAATAAGCGGCCTCAGACCAGGTTTCCATTGATTTGCCACTGAATGGTCTGTAACTCAAACAAAAGCATTTCTCATGTGTGCTGAGAAAAAACTTCTTGTCAATATGATATATACCACTGTCATGGTTTCATAGTTTTTCATCATCAAAATACCATGCAGTGCACTGGGAGTTAAAGAGTTCATTCTTTTCTGAGGAAACTGCAGCATCAACCCCTTAACTCCCAATGGCGACTATGTGGCAACCATGACAACTATTAGGAATATCAGCTTCTTTTACAACTCATTGCAATCATTATTGCCTATGTAAGTTGATTTACAGAGAATGAGAAACAGAGTAAGTTAAAGTTACACAAGTCATCTTGCATAACTAATCAAGAAATCCTCCAAAAAAAGCCTGAAACAAGACTCCAGATACAGAGCTATCTGTAATAAAACAGCAGCTGGTAAAGAAAAGAATGCTGCAAATATTCATTTTCCTTTTCTATTTCCATCATTTCACTGAGATCTCTTTACCTAGTCTGATTAAAAATCAAGAGCCTTTTAAAAGTCTCCTGCTTTTAAGATTGATTTTATTTAGAAAAACTAGATTGACTTACTACTCTAAAACAGGCGTAATAGATGATTGATGGAAATGGCAAATGAACAATAGGAATTTCTGTTCATTATTAGCACCTCAAATACCCCAACATTCAATTGTCAGTATGCACATTTACAGCCGGAGGATCCTTGAAAAAGAAAAACATCTTCAACACACAATCAACTTGCATCCTGTGTCTGGGCTTTACTCTATTACTTCATTAAAACAGGATTTCTCCTATTTTCCTTGCTTTCCACTGAGAGACTTTTATGTTAATTAAAATGAATTTTCAATAATGTTGACAGCCTCTGTCAATCCACAAAGCAGATAAAAGGCACCAATCATCTTCCATTAACAAGATACAAAATGACAGTCTCCAGAAATCAGAGGGAGCTCAATAAACTTGGTTAAGTCAGGACTGTCTTAACATAGAAATCAGTCAGAACAGGTCACTTTTTTCTTTCTTTGATTTAATTATTTTGTAGCACCACCTGTTCATTATGAAGCAGGCTGATAACATTTACCATGAGATTTCAAATAACGATGACCTAGATGGAAAAGTCTTCACCATTTCTTCTTTTTATGTTTACTTCCCAATAAGCTTTCAAGGCAAGTTTTTCCAAGAGCAATGCTTGAATCTACATTCAGTCTACTACATTCATGAAATGCTTGTCTGTGAGAACCTAATGCACGTACACAAAATGGTTAGCTAAGCAGAGAATGCTTAACAGTCTCTTCCCCCTGCATCTCTTCTCATCACCATCACCAGTAAAAAAAAAAAACAAACAACAGAAGTCAAAGGCAACTGAAAAAAAAAAAACCACAGAGTAAAAGTATTGCAGCATAACTGCAAGGAAGACCAGTATCATTTAGGAAACATGGATCCCAAGTTGTTTCTTTCATCATTTTTAGAATTAAGTCATTTTAGATACTACTAAATGGTAACATCTATGATACTGAAATTGCAGTCTGGAAGGCATTTACAGTTCTTTATTTAAAAAAAAATAAAAATAAAAGGGAAGGCAAAAAAACCAGCAAAAACATCTTCCCATGCATTTATGAAGAAAGCTTCACTTATAAGCACAGAAAAAAAAGGACTGGAAGGAAACTAATTAGTTCTAATTTTCATTATTGCTTGCTACTTTGTGAGGTAGACAATAAGAGCTGCACAATATTTTCTTTTCCTGTGAAGCGAAACACTGAAATGTTTACGTGATTCCATAAAATTCTTAGATGTTTTTCTTTCTTATTTCTCCAAATGGCCTAAAAAAGAAATCCAGATGGCTTTTGGCACCCAAACAGTAAGGATGGTAAGTCTACAACTAGATTTTATAAGTAGTAGTTATTAAAATCAGTCAAAGTTGCATAAATTTAATCCTTCCTGTATTTACACAGTGATCATGAAGGGCACTACAAAAAAGCAATTTGAGATGAACTTCGGTGGTTTAAGAAAAGAAAGATTTACTTTAAAATCACTTCTTTATTGCACAAAGCTTTAAAGCCGGTACCATATATTTGACTATCCATACTTTTGCACATTCTCATTTTTTAAGATCTCTGTGCTTTTTACTTCATGCAATATATTTCTTATTGCTTCTCCTGCAAATAAATTAAAAAAAAATTAATGAAAGATCCAGTACTGTTTTCATTCTTGTTCCCTATCCAACACAAATCAAAGCATACAGCTGCCATATACCAATTTACTATTAGTGTTTCTATTTGTATCTTCCTTTTTTAGGATAGATGTATTATGATAGGATCATTTTCAACTTTGTTCATTTTTGCTTTATTTTAATCACTTTTATTCTTTTTGTCATTGCAAAGGGTACAAGGTTTGCTGGCAAGCATTCCTGTATTAGAAATGAATAACTCAACATTGAGACATATAGATTCAATCCTTGGGGATATAATGGAATGATTATATCTATCTGTGAAATATACTCATTCCCCTGACTCATTAAGTGCCTCAAAACTCAAGGATTCTGAGTTACATATATATAAAGTTTTAACTTGCAGAATAACGCCAGCAAGCTTAAAGATAAACACAGGGGTATTTTTTTCAGTTTCATAGTTTTGAAGGCCTGATAAACATGGGAGAGACAGAGCAGTTTACAACAGCATACACACGTAGTATGTATGTTCGTGGAATCTGTGTTCATTGTAGTTCTGCATGTACACAGCAGGGAGAGTAGCGCAGGCAAGGTACACTGCAAGCAGGCTGTAATTCTCACCTTCCACCACAATATTCTTCTTCCTTTCCTTTCATTCCTTGCCTCTGATTTCGCCACATAATAATTTGCCTGATTTGAACAAATTATTTCTGGAAATTTTCAGCTAAAATGGTCCAGCTGTTTGGAGAACGGGGCAAAAAAATACAGGAAGGTCTACAGCGTTAGAATTATGAGATCTGTAATCTTTTGTGCTTTATAAACTTCAATTCTGACAGTAAGTCTTCTAATTACCATATCCATGAGAATCCACCAAGATCTGACACTGATTTAAGCCTAAAGAAAGAAATCTTAGTATGTAAATAATTGAAACAGGCTTGAGCTAAACACGTGACACATGCACCAGGGGTCAACTTCTTTTGAAAATGTATCATTTCTAGTTTCTAAAACTCGTATGACTGTAGATGTGTCATTGCTACAGAGTGCATGAATACCTTCACTGGACACAGCTCACCTGTGGGACAATATTCTTAAGGGCAACACTAGAACCCATTTCAGAAAGCCCATCTCCAGGCAACAGAGAAAGCTCTAACCTACACAAAGCTCAGTCATGGAGACATGCTGGGAAAGAAGCTTGACTGATTGGGAAAAGAGGCTGGAGGTAGAAAAGGAAAGGAAGAATTTCTTAAGAAAAGAAATTGGGAATTCAGTAAGAAGAAGGTGAAAAGAGTGGGACTGACAAAACTTGAAATTGATGCCCAATGTCCATTGAGAACACAGGCAACGCCACGGCAAGAAGAGGAAGTCACAAGTACAGAAGGCAAATGGAGAAATAAGTACTTAATAGAACAAACTGCCTGCATCTGAAAACTCTTTCCAATATCCCGTGTGCTGTCATTTCTCATATAAGACATTTTCAATTTTGCTTTTTCCAATCAACTCATCAAAAATAAAACACACAAAAACTCTGCGAAAGGTGATGGTCCATTTTCTGGTATGTAACTGTATATGAGAACAATAAATATAGATACGTAAGTGCTGTCTATATTCATTGCAGAATTGCATTCACTCTTGGCAAAGAGGCCTCAACTTCATTGTTTGCCAAATTGATATCTACTTTGAGAGCTCCAACATTTTACCACTAATTATTCCCCACAATACAACACTTGCCCATCAAAAAAAAATATATTTCACCTAAAGAAGGCAGTGAATTAAAAAAAACCCATTTGCAAACAGCAACACTTTCTGACTAAGAATTGCTTTGAGACTCACTATCTGGATGACATTCAGAAACAAGGAGCTGCATTAAGTTTGACCAGATCATCCAATTGGCTCTGTACCTTGCCTCCAAGAAAAGCCATAAATCCATGCCTACAAACACTCCTTCCCTCCAGCTATTTCCAGGTCAGTAATTTCTGCAAGCAGATGTGGTCCCTCTCCATTTAGAGATTCTCAATTATTTTTTTGTTTTCCACAAACACTTGTAGCCTCGCATTGAACCAGTAACGAGAAATTGCAGTTCTTTTCAGTTTTTCTCTGGTTTTGATCTAGTCTCAACAAATCATGAGAAAAAAGACACCTTTCATTCACGCACGGGAAGACTATTTTGGTGTGTTTCTAGTGCTTCCATCCGACTGCAAAGCTGCACTACCATGTCTCCTGTCCTATCAGTAAAGTAATAAGACAAAGTTTTTATAAAGGTTTTAAAAACGTTATAACTTCAGTAACATTTCTCTTCAACTGCCTGCAGCTAATGCACAGAATAGTTGGCAGTGCTGTGGTTTCAGATAACACATCTTATTTCTGACATGGTTACTGTAGAGCAGCAGAGATTCATAAACTTGGGCTAGTAAAACTTTTATGGTGCAGCATATCAGCATGTTATATTTCTCACTATATTGAATCAGAATTCCAGTTCAGTGAAGTACCGACAAGGGCAGAGCAGAAGTAGAACTGAGAATACCTCGCCCATCGCTACTTCAGTTTTAGGATGTACAGCTTCCAGATTGAACTGAAATTGCCATGCCATCGACTAGGAGAAAGATTAATTCTCCTGGATATTCAATTGCAAATAGGACATAATTATTTTAACAGGATGTCATGCAATGACATGAGAAAAACTTACGAGGTTAATTCCATGCCCACTGAAGTCAATGACAGTCTTGAAATATCACTGAATTGTGAAAGATTTGGAATGGGAGATTTCAACAGTATTTCATACCGCATTACACGTCTGAAAGATTTCTTCACATTTGTTAGAAAAATGACACAGTCAAAAATACATAAAATATTAATAAATCCCTACATGTTATGAAGAGTCCTTAAAGAGATATGCTCCAAATTTTAGTGATTTCTTCAAGACCAGATGTTCCAATCACCTCTTACACAGAAATTAAAATACTCACCTGCATTTAACGAAGGCAAGTTGTCTTTGCCACTTATGCCTTCAGGTGCTGTACACTCACGAACCAATGCACACTACAAAAGAAACAAGAAAAGAATAGTTTATATTTGCACATTGTGGCATGACAAGGAGTTTATAAGCGTTTATAAAAGCGGCTTATAAGTAGCAGATCAAAAAGAACATTGATAACTTCCCAACCCTACCATAAATTACCATTCAGATTTCCTTCTCTGTATGTTCCAATATACAGCAAAACACTCAGAAGTACTACAATGAAGATGACAACATACGGTCAGCTATTCCATAACAAAATAAAGATTTCCTGCCAATACAAAGGCACAGGTTAAAATAACTTTTGACAAACGATGTGGTTTCCGAGGGATTTCTTTCAGTAGCTTTCCCATACATGGCGTCAGAAAGCACTCAATGAGTTTTTAAACAAGGCAGAAGTAGAAGCCACAAATCTTTAAAAAGTAGTTGTGGTTTGTGATTGAAGTCATCTGTTATACAAGTGAATTAGAAAACGTTTCCTTTGATAAGGTTAGTGTATAAAAGTATCAAAAGTTAATGGAAAAATTAACTGGTCAAAGTCCACTGGCATAAATCCACTTTAAAATGTGCTAGCATTAATATTTTTCATGTTCCTCCTTCAGTCAGAAAAAAGCTTTCCAAAGATGACAGTAAACTCAGTTAACATGGCTCTTAAGATTTTCTGCTGCAGATGTCAGATCTTCAACCAAACAGCAAGACATGAGGTACTCCGTACCACTTGACATCTCAGGTTAAATTGAACTATCAGGGACTCTAAGTAAACTCCTTTTTTATTAACTGAAAATGATCAGTTTTCATCATTTCATCATTTGGAGTGGTTGTTTCTGAATCTTGTCCTAGCCCAAGCCTCTCGTCATCCATCCTTTCCATCCCTCCTTTGGTTCTCCTATTCCTTCCTTTTCCACTGTTTCATCTCCAGTTGGCATCGCCACCACTTCCAGCTGTAAGACTTGCCTACTGGAGAGCATTTTTACCCTTCCTGACGCCCTTCTGCTCTTCCTCTTGCCTCCCACCACGTTTGCCTCAATTAAAAATCCCTACAGAAACCCTCTGCTCAACACTTCCCTTTTCTAACATTTAAGTACCACCATTGCCACCCACGACACCCATATATTTTCCCCACCATTGTATGCTACTATGAAACGCAGCTGAATCTGTCCCTTTTTAATGGGATTCACCTGTTCTTTCGCTTGTCTGTTTGCCATTCTTGGCAGGTTTTCAGTATTGTGGATACTGGCTGCACTTAAAAATCCACATGAACAGGACTTCAATGGCAGAAAACAGAGGAACTGCCAAGGGAAAAAAAAATAGTTTATGGTGTCTCTACGGACAGGTGTTGATGAAGAATGATCAAAGATGATCAGCTGAAATAAAAATCAACAAAAAGGAGAAGGACTAGGCAATCAATAACAGAACATAATTGTGCGTGTTTTTGTAACGTTTATTTTTGAGAGATTAAATGTGAACAGTACTTTAACCCATAATTTTTTTAATAACTACTTAACACAATGTGGTATGAGCAATTTAAGTATCTGGTGCAACTAATAATTCTATTTAATTTTGTGCAATCAACTGAATCGTTACCTTTTGATCCTGTGAATCTGTTGTGATATGGCCTGGTTCCCCATCTTCTAGTTCTCCCATCTTCACAAGATTGACTTCAATGGTACCAACTGTCTTTCCACCATCGGAAGTTCTGGAAAAAAAAAAAATCCCATGACACTGGGTCATATGCAGCATCTCATTCCATCAATAAAAATACTTTCAGTAAACATTTAGTTCCCTTTTCTGTATAGCTGCAGACATGTGTATTTACATCCATAAAAGTAACATTAACAATAAGGCTTATTATGTTTTCTCTATGTCGCTTCTAAAACGGAATGTTTTCATCATAAGAGTGAGTACTGGAAGCTGCTATAAACGGTGGAAGAATCCACGCATGTTGTCAAGTTCTCACTCTAGATGGTATTCTGAGGATTATAGAGGAAAAGGGCCATTACCTGTTGTGCCAATAGCTCACTTATTACCTGCAGTCTCACTACACAGTGCGATGCTTTGTTTCCTAACCATCTGCAAAGAATACGTTCAGTAGGTTAATAAATTTGTCGCTAAATCTCAAGAGTGAAACAAATCTAAATCTCACTTTTCTTTTTGTAGTATCTCTACAGGGTAATTACACAGAATGAGTTCCATTTCTTTAACTAAATGGGAGAGGATAACAACTGCAGGTGAATTCCTATTTCATTATTTCTACAAATACTTTTGAGAAAAAAAAAGGTAATTCCAATTGCACGTCAAAACAAAGAATACTGTATGCTACCTTTCAGCAGAAATAAGACTTTAAACTAAAGTAATTCAATGCTTTTTGGCTTTCACTGACAGCAAAGCTTTATTCAAACACCAAGGCTGCATCGTCTGCCTCCTCTGGCTTATTCTGAATGGCTGGATTTTTTTGGAAGGAAATAAATGTAACAGATCATTTGACAGTAATGAAAAAACCAATACAACACATGCCAAGCAGAAATTAGCAATGATGATAGTAAGTTCAGCAAAATTGAGAAGCACAGAGGGGAAGAACAAAAACAAGTGGATTTGGGCCAATACCATATATCAACTGAGAAATAAAGATGCAAAGTTGCAGAGCAGCACGAAAGAAAAACACAGAAAAAAATATTAGACAAGTATTTCCAATAAAAACCTCTACATTCCTGGGGAAACAACCCTCACTGCAAAACAACAAATTCAAGTTTAGCATGGACTTGTTTATAGATCTTAAAAAAAAACAAAACACTGCCACATCATATCATATAAGGATCAGTAAAAATACCAACCACTACTCAAAGTTTTACCTACCAGGACCGAGCCCATAGCCAAGCACCGGCTCTGTCGTACACCACTAGTATGGTGTAGCATCACAACTCTGAGCAAATAGGCAAGATAAAGCCCACTACACTGGGAGTCACAAGAGCTCCTGAGAGGCACAGCGCCAGCGCATGTAGGCCCTGCACCCATGCAGGCCAAGCCCATGTTGGCTCAACCTTCCTGCCACGTGTGGAGCTTGGACTTTCTCAGGTTATTTGCTGAAACGCAGGCTGCAGAACCCTGACTTTCACATTTTTACACCATCTGGAATTTTGCATGTTGTATGGAGTCTTAATTAGGTCAGTGGAAGCTGAGTTTTTGGAGCGATTCAACTTAAGAAGCCATACCAAGCTTTTCACGCATGAATACTTATTTATCATGCTAAATCAAAAGATTTTATGTAAATTTTACATATGTACATTCATAAATACAGCTACTTTGAGCTTCCAATATAAACATCTTTTGTTACAGGTAATTATACCTTTAATGCGTGTGTTTCAGTAACACACACTCAACTTGCAGCTACACAAATCAATTGTTTTTATATAAAATCCTTTCAAAATACACAATTCACCTCATTTTCCATGTCATTTCTTCACTTGCTCTAAGACAAATTCATTACTGACAATAAAAAAAGAAACAATTTAAATGAACCACTCCTAAACAGCCTTGCAACCAAAGAAGGCTATGTTAATTAACGAAATATACAAAAGAAAAATAATGAGGTAGAAAGGTTCTATGTCCAAAGGGTGTTTACGAGCAAAAGTACATAATTTTTAAGTGTATGAAAAACAGCTTTAGTTCCTTCTGAAATTAGAACATTCCTCTCACTTATTACAACACAGCAGTTTGACTTGGTTTCTTCTTCCTAGATAACAATCAGCATGTGAACTAAGTTACTTCAACAAAGGGACTACAGCTTTTCCAAGGAAAAGGGGAATACAGAAGATGTTAGCACATCATATACATCTTCATAAATCGGAGCCAGTGCGTTGCTACAAGACTGACAACTTTTCAACAACTCAGCATGCCCTGATCCAAGTGTCAAAGGGACAACCTCATTAGCAGGCTGACTTCTATATGCAACAGCACTCGACTGTAATCCTGGTCATTCACTTGACTATCAGAAGAAAAATCCTGCCCTGCCATTTTTTTTAGGAAACATGATTTCCAAGGTCAAAGAGACCTGCAAGGTTGACACTGACCTAGATAAAAACAGGTCCGATGCAAGATTAAAGACAAACTAAGAGTATAATTCGAAGTTGAATGAAAAGAAGCTCAGTTTGCAAATGAACTGATACAAGTCCTTGTCTGAATTGCCTAAGAGGGCTGAATATTCCTCCTAATTGCTCACAGGTGACAACAGTAAAGTTTTTGAGCTTTCTCTGTACATGTAAAAATACAGTTGACATAATTTTATTTTCTACAAAATTTTTCAATGGTGGTCTTCTCAAAATCACTCGTGATCTGCTCTTACACATATGTAATATTAAAATGTGAAACATAATATCTCTAAGACAGTGCAAAGGAATACAACAGTGGTATTATTAAGTTGTAATTGCATTTAAAGAACTCTATGCATGTCCAGGGAGAAACCACCACAATCTGTGCAAGACACTGCATTTGAAATACCACTGGTGCATGACCGTCTTCAAACAACAGACATGTCATGGATTTAAAACTTTCAAGCAATGTAATGAGATTAATAATGCTTAAAAGATAATTAAAAGTGAGAATTACACAGGATTTACACAGTAGGGGGAAAAAAAAGCATGCTGATCACTGAAATAAGATGGAGATCTGTGTTATTTTACTTTGTATTAAAACGAACAGTACTGCACATTAATTATATGTATATATTTCAGGTCATTTGCTCAGACAGGCAGAAAATGTCACACACACACAGTTAAGCAGATCATTAGGAAAATAATTAATGGGCTTCAAAATACACGAGGTTAAAAAAGCTTATTTGCTGTTGTTTAATAAAATTGAAAGTGCAGCTTGCAGTGACGCACTGCAGTGAAGACTGTCCCTGTGCCAAATTGCTTACAGTCATGAGACAAGATGCACTACAGAACCCCAGGAGTTCAGTATAACACGGACTGCACCTTGACAACCCTGCATAGGGATTTTCCTGACACACACGCAGTACGGAGGTGGAATAGAACAATAAGAATAAGTAAAACAATTGTCGGTGTGAGAAGCCCGCATTTGGCTGTTATGCCCGTTGGCTTGTGGAACTGGAAAGGTTCTGATGAGTTATTTCATTTAAAGCAGCCTGAGACAAAGAGCACCAATTGCCCCATATTTGCCTACAGAGCATCTGCATTTGAAATATTACCAATAAAGGAGACAGTGTTTGAAGAGCAACTTCTAAACCAGATTTGGAAGCAGAGGATGCGGGCTTCAACAGCAAAGCTGGCAAGGCTTCAGTCTATCCCTTCCCACTCAGTCCAACCTGCCTTCTTTCTGCAGCGCTCACTCCATCTGCTGCAACCATAGTCCCATGTCAGTGTGCACCCACCTATGCTGGAGCAATTCAAGTCCCATCATCCCATAAACCCTAGGGGCGTAGTTTCAAGCGAAGCAGCAGGTTTCAAACTTAAAGCAGTAGTTCCAGTCCAGTAGTGCTACATACAAGATCGTTGTTTAGTTTACCAAGTTAAATCCAGATACTTTTGAAGTTGCCTTGAAGTCACCTCAGGCTTAAAACTACCACTGCTTCTCATGTTATTGGAAAATTTATTATATAGACGGGTTTGCTTAGCACCCCAACTCCTTGAGGACCACCAGGCTAATATCAGTTCCATCTAAGAGGAGAGAAAGAGCTACCTAGAACTTCCCTAACAACAGAAACATCCACTTCAACATTTCTAGTGATAAAAGGCTGACACGAGCATCCAGAAAGGAAGGACAAGTTAGCAATGAAGAAGCAGGTGAACTAGAGGGACTGAAAACAGTATTTATTCACCTCCAATGCACTTCTCATTAAGTCTCCTAACTGCATAGTGAATATGCAAATTCAGGCCTGCTAATTGGTTCCCATGGCTATACCCTTGTTCCCCAAAAAAGGCTCAAGAACAGAAAGAAAAAGAAAACAGACTGTGTTTGCATAATAGTGTTAATTATAAATGACAAAGCTACTGACTGCCTGGAAAGCAAATGGCATGATTTCCAGTCAAGCCCCATTCTGCACTGCATAATATATAACAAATGCAGTTAGTACAGGCTAACGTACCAACTGCCATAAAATCTATTTTCTCCAATACATTCTGAGACACGTAAGCACAAAACTATAGTACTTGTATAAAAATGTTGTTGCCTTCTGTTTATTCTGTGGAGCCACAGTCAAGTCTATCTCAATCAACATGGATTTTAAACAAGTTCACTGATAAACAATGTTTTGTAGAATTGTCATAAATAAATTAAGTCCTGCAATGTTCAATCCATTCTCTGTTTCTAGTATTTCAGCATAACGTTTCCCCTCAAATCTTTGTGAGATTCACCTTACTCATTTATCTACTACCTGGGGTGGATGACAATGACATGAAGCAGCCACGAAATCATTTCAGGATGGAGTCTTGCTAAAACTGGCTGTACGGAGATTCTGAATTCTAATGGGGAAAAGTTCATACATGTATGTATTATTTTATAGTGATTGCTTGATAAGGAAGTCAAAGAAACAAAGGTGACGTACTTAAACTACTGCAAAACTGACCTTGAAAATTTGAAATCCTCTAAGAATAAATTTTTTATAAACATTATATTGGTATTTATTGAAGTAAACATTTCCATCAGTTCACATTTTATCCAAACCCGTTTTGTCAGAAAAAAATTTCAAGTTACCCTCTTGGTATACATGGCATTCTCTGTATTTGGGTGGAAGTGACATCAAGGCATTTTAACCTCTCCCTACAAGTTAAATATATATCGAACAATTAATGCTACAAAAGAAGGCTGGTACAGTAATAGAAAAAGTCAAAAAGTTTCCTTTCAAAAATGAAGACACTTTGACATGATGGAACTATGACAACGTCACTGAACACTGCACTTTCAACAGTGAACTCAAGGCTGGCTCCAATACTGTGTCTGAATCCAATGAATTCATACTGAAACATCACCAGCTATAATGTTTCCCTTATCTTAAAATAGCTTTCGTTCCTATCTTACTATATTTTATAACCATAAGCCAGCACTAAAGGTGAAAACTGTATTCGTCAGTACTGAGCTTTAGTAAATATCTATTCAGCACAACCCTAGTTTTCAAACATCGGTCATGACTGTCCTGCTGTTAAGTGTTATGCCACTGAACAGTGTTGTACATCAAGCCCCACTGACATTTGGCTGCATGTAATGATGAGGTTAGGATGTTGCACTTAATTCACACTTGAGAGAAGACTTAACTCATTATCTCCACCATCTTTAAATATGGCTAGTAATTAAACCAGCAAATTGTACAATGCCTATTCTTTAAGACACACAAATGAAAACTAACTGACAATCTTGTACTCCTTTCTAATGGAATCTGTGAAACAGAATCCTCCACTTCCCTGAAATTCTTCCATACGCTTACACCAAAAAATTACTGTTTCCAATAAAATTAAATAACTGGTATTTCTTTTTGTGTTAGTATATGGTAGAAAAATAAGTACTTGAGGCTGATATCTAACATAAGCAAAGGAATACGGAGTTTCAAACAGTCAAACAGGAATATCAAATGCCATGGATTATTTACTTGATCTGGTTTACAACAGATGAAAACACTTACCTGAGGGTAAGGGTCAACTGTTGTTCCTTTGACTTCACCAAGTCTCCTACTGTAAAAGTCGTACAGCCCAGGAAGCTTCGCTACAAAATGAAGCAGAATGAAAAAAATATATATATCATTGAAATTTTTGTTACTTTTTTGGTCTTCAAATCTTTCCTTGGTACCTAGAAACATTCCTGCATACCAATTTAACACATTATATGTCAGAAAATTGTTATGTAGCCATAACATGTTTACCACAAAGTTGTTAAATACTGGCTTAACAGGCAGGAACTTCTCCCTTTCTTGAGAACCACTCTGACATGTATGTATTTACTATGAAGTTACTTTGCTATGTATTTGCTAGCAAGTGAGTTCAGTAAATATTCTTTAATAGAAATGTTGTATTTCTCTAGTTTATAGCAGTGTTTGTAAATACTTGTTTCCTTCCTTCCCTCTAAATTGGAGAGGTATGGATTTAAAGAATGGACTGTTTGATGGATTAAGAACTGGTTGGCTGGTAGTAACCAAACGGTTGTGATCAATGGTTCCACGTCAGGGTGGATGCCTGTCACAAGCAGTATCCCTCAGGGCCTTGGGTCTGCTTCTCAACATCTTCATCAATGACATACACGATGCAATTGAGTGCACCCTCAGCAAGTTTGCAGATGACATCAAGCTGAGCAGTGCAGTCAATACACTGGAGGGAAGGGAAGCCATTCACAGAGACCTGAATATGCTGGAGAAATGGGTCCAAGAAAAACTAATGAGTAACTCATCTTCCTTGGCTTTTCATTACTTTTTACCCTCTGCTCATACTCCACTACCTAATACTACAATCTGATTTAGTCAAATAAACCAGTGTTGGCCTTGACCTAGGAACAAAGGTAGAGAGAACCGTCTATTATCAGCTTCTAAGCATTTATTTTCAATATACAACTGAATACTGCTTGTCATAAATAACTTTTAACTATTTTATTTTGCATTTTTGCAAATTCTATCAAAAGAAACATGTTTGTGTTTATTGTTCTACCCTGATTTCACTCCACAGTTGAAATCAAAATAAAATACCACTGATAACTATACAGAGTCTTGGATCTTCAAATTTAAGAATAATCAAGTTGCTCTTATGTAAAATCAACACACAAGATGCAGAGCCCAACTGCAAACCTGGGGAAAATGAGGATTTGTTACTACTGAGTAAACATCTTCCTCTGGTTAAAAAACAGCAACAAAAATAAACAAGAAGAACCCTGCAGTCTGTTTTCTTTCAAGAAAGCTCAGCTAAATGTTGAATATTTACATATCGCAATAAATACACATTTATACATTTATTGTATAGACCTCAATATAGATATTATTAAATAATAATATAGGCATTATTTTATCTATACTACGATATATTTTCACGTATATTGTTTAAATCCCAATCCCCAATTTACGTAAGCCACAACACCAGACTTAACTTGATAAGCTAGATCAACTGTTATGGCTTATTCCTATCACAAATACAGGCTTAAAATAGGTAGTAATTCATTTTCTGTGTTTTGGTTGGCACTTAACTAGAAGAGGAAAAATGACGGAAGCTAAGAGTCTACGGAAGGCTGGGAAAATAGTGGATTTGGGAAATGCTGGACAGGCAAGAAGCCAAAATAAAAGCATATACAAAATTTATCGTGAAAAATGACAGTTACACAAGATTATGGTTAGTTTTCACTGCCAAGTGAAACATATACTTGTTAGCAATACATCCAGGTGTGATGCACAGTCTTGCTAGAGTAGACACACAGACATTTCCATCTTCCTTTAGACCAGTCATAACTGCATTTTTTCTGTTAAAACTGTGGTGGCACAAAGAAAACTGATACAAGTTTGGTGCTTCTTTTCCCGGTACAACAGACTACAAATCCATTGCAGAATCCATAGTAGGAATCCTCATACGATCAAGGTTAAGAGGTGACCACACAGTCCTTTCACATAATCTGGGAGCTTTGGGCACTATATCCACTAACCATCTCTGAGTGCTTCAATTAGCTCTCCAGACTCACAAAATTGAAGTGGAATAATTTTATGGGGTTAAAAAACAATAAATCCATTTATTTGCTTGTCTCTTATTCTTATTGCTTACTTACAACAAAGCTTCCTTTATCCAGCAAAGCAATTAGGAATTATTAGCAAAATTAACTACACTTGTGAATAATTCCATGACCAAAATGCAGAGTTTAAGGAGTCTAATTACAAATGATGCTGGACATAAATTTTTTCGAACTGATTTGGAGACAAATCATGTACCCTGGAGGCCTAAACTAGCAGTCTACAAACCAATTGAACTTTGCACTTGAAAATTAGACTTTAAACAAAACAGCTACTGTAATTCTAATTACAGAGCAATATTCCAACATAATTTTGCTAGTGGAATACTTATATTTATCTGAAAATATGAGTCTTGACTAGTTTGATGAATTATCCTATCTAGTCAAAGAGAAAAGTCTCTGTAATAGTTACCTAAGAAGATGAAACACGTCGATTATTTCACTAAGCCTGTAAGCGCTGCCAAGTCACAGGCTTACTGAACACTAGCTGAAGTGCTGGAAACTCTGCTAAGGAAGCCCTGATAATGCAGGAAACTCAGCACCTAAGACTTACAACGTAAAAACCCCACATCCTGTTTGTCTTTTATTCAGCTCTAGCAGGACTAATGTTTCCTACCCCCAATAACCCACATATTATCTGGGAGACTGTAGCTTTCTCAAAAACTAAAAAGAAATCCCAATACCTTTGCCAAAAACAGACCAGACTGGCAGGACTATTTATATTCCACACTGTTTATACTCTGTATGTGAAAATGAGAAAGAGACTGGCAAGGCTCATTCAGATAATGCAATTCTGTGCTCTCAATCCAGATGGCTTGTATGGCAAGTAGCAAGAAGTCTAGGTAGCTGTGCTTGCCTCAGGATAATTTCAACTGAAAACAATTAGTGAATGGGATGACATCAATCACCAAGTACGTTGCCCCTCCCTTGATTCATTATTCACTTAAATCAACTTTTTCTAAAAAACCAAGCTTGCCAGCTCCTGTTTAGCAGTTTAAGCAGAATGCCATTTCTCCTTCACGTCTGCGTCTTTTGATGAGGTGAAAAATCCATTAATATACAAAAATTGCTTACTCCAACATCTGTTCTTGGCTCCTTGTGATCAGGTAGGACAGCGGTGTGGACCTGAGAGGAGGAAGAAAAAAAGACAAACTTTTTTTTTTGTTACTTTCCAAAAATGAGAAGTACTCATGTATTTTTTCTTTTCTTTCTTTTTTTTTTTTTTTTTTTAATGTTTTCTACGTATATTAGAAGAGATTTTTAAGGGATGTATGTGTGTAAAAGAACTGCTCTGAAAGTAATATGTCCTATTTCGTTATGTCAGCCCACAGAGTAAGAGGTAGTACAGCAGTAAAGGCTGAATCTCCTCTTGCATTTTGTTGCCACGCAACAGATAGCAGCAGAGGGGCAGCCTGACAGAACAGCATCTGACAAGGAAGAGCATATAAAGCAAAGGTGTCTCTGTGAATACTTTCACATGGAAAACACTGTAACCACTGACATTCATTATCTCTTGCCAAACATTTATGGAGACGATAAACAAAACACTAATGCATTGAAAGTTGGGCTGTGTGGACAATGTTCACTTAACAACAACACCATCATAGCATTTGGGAAATAGTGCATTCCTTCAGCTGGTTTAGATTATTATTTTTTTTTTTTTAAAGGATGAATGACTTGCAGACCCTTGCACACCACTGGTGAAAATGCAGAACTAATGGTAATGATCACATTGAAAAATGGCATTTTGTAGCTGAGAGTTCTCTCTATCAGTCCTATTGTGCTCTTCATAGTTGTCGTTTCCTTGGAAATAAGAGGTATTACCTTTGGAATGACCTACCGAAGATCGCCTTCCAACCAATAGTCTGACAGCCAGATGTACATGAATACCATATTCCGTGATCCTGGTATTTGACTAAGCCGCTTTAAGATATCAAAGATATCTCTGCTGAAGGGAAACTGGATTTGTGATTTAAGTATGTGTGGTGGTTATTTTTACTTTTTTTCTGTAATCGTTTTTTGTTCGGTTTATCTTGAGAAGCATGTTTTAAAATATTCATTAAAAAGAGAAGTCATATATGGGAGCTATAATTTGGTCCCTTTCATATTATCTATTAGTATAGGTCCCCAAACATATTTAATTGCTCAAAATACTACAACTTTCAAAGTACATGATGAGGTGTCTCCACAGGCCCAGGTACACATCATTAGAAATACAAAAGGCAGATAGCTTATAAACAGACAGAAAATAATCCCTTACCTCTAAACTCAATACACAAAATGCAAGGACAAGCAGAAAGAAAGAGAAGAATTTTCACAAGCAAATATTCTCTTCCTCTATCACCTGATCAAACAAGCTGTTTTGTCGCAGTTTTTTTAAAGCTTGTCATAAACTAGTGTTCCCTAATGTACCCAGCGGTATTGTAGAACTACAAGATAGCAATATAAAGGTAGACTTCAATCCCAGACACTCGTTATTTTACCGTAAATTCTGTCTTCTCCTTATGTGCTCCAGATTTTCCTAAGCAAAATGCAAACCTTTGAACAGCGAGATTATTCAGAAGTGGTGGAAGATTTAACTTTCCTAGAATAACACACGCTCCCATCTTACCTTGTGAGAGAACATATGTATGAAGAGGTCAAAAAAGTAATTAAGAAATACAGCTTATAACCTAGGCCAAATATAAACCATTTACAATGAGTATTCATGCTAGTACTTCTTGGAATAGTAAAACAGTTTGTGCGTAGTACAGTATGCAATGCCAGGAAAAACACTGGGGCACAGAGTGGTGACAATTTCTAATTAACATTATGTTTCTCTATTTTCAGTATCGTATACAGAACGAGTATCTAACCCGTACTTTTAGTGCACAGATCAGACATCCAAGCATCAAACTTATCTAGGTATAGATGTTAAATTCAGCTTTAACAACCTGGGTTTTTTTTTCATCATATAAAGCTGCCTTTGCTAAGGAATGTTTCTTCCGGTCAATCACAGCACTAAGCCACATCCAGGCATGCCATCAGGAGTTCAAAAGATGGAATAATTATTATTCCTAAAACTTTTGTGTGCGCCTAATTGAAGTCCTGGTGTTTCGGTTAGTGACTGAAGGCCAAGTTCAAAAGGCACCTAAGTTCCGCCAAGAAATAATGCTACATTCTTTTCTCAGTTACTCAACCTCAAATCCCCTACAGCTTTCAGAGAACTCCCTGCACTTACTGCTGCTGGCTGTTAAGTTGCCCTGTCCTGTAACCCACCCAGCACCTCACAACAACCAGATTTTCTCCAGGTGTGACTAAACATTGGTGATCTCTACTGAACAAAGTCGCCGAAAATTTGACGTGAACTTTATAGAACTAGAGTGTGCCAGGAAGGCCTTCAATTTCATCCTCTTGGTGCAACTCCAGCAGTGGTGCAAGAGCACAACCTATGAAGACATCTTACCTTTTTATCATCTGGAGCTGCTCAGGGATAGTGAGCATTTGCACTTTTCTTCCCCCTCACAGCCCTCTTGGCATCAAAGGCAAACACTGAGCTCTGCTAACACAACCACCACAACTCCACAGAAAGCTCACAAGGACACTGTTCCCACCCACCTGCCAGCTATGCTGCACCACCAGCCATTAGAGAGCGACCACGTTGCTTTATAACTCTTCTTACACTAGTGGTAGCTTCACATACGTGTGCTAGAAGGGATGAAAATGCTTAAAGTGGCACTAGGTTCTACAATATCAATGGGATTGCATAAGATACGTGCCATTCCAACATGCTTGAACATCGAACATTACAAGAACACCAGCCAAGGCAAAATCACATTGGTCTTTCCAGAATTTGCTTTTGTTATGTGCACTGCAGTGACAGAGGGAAGTAGTTGTCCAATTCGGGCACTCAGAAGCCAGCTTATCACAAACGTAGCAGTAGCACTGATTACAAAAATCAGCATTTTTTCCAAAGGATGAGCACGTTTTACATTCCATTTGTTCAAATGAGTGTATTGTACAGTCATACCTTGCATGGGGCATCACACTTGCTTGTTTACAGAAAACTTATTTCTAAAAAAAGATACAGATGAGAAACATTCACTTTCAACAAATAGACCAGCAATTTGCTGAATAGTTCAATCAACATAAAAGTGAGCAAAGTAGAACACTTCCATCAACATCTTGTCAGATTTTACGGGGGATGTAATGCAAATTCTCCAAGCATTATTACATAACTTTAAGAGTCCACGTAAAGTAAAGAGGAAAATATTTTCCCCAACAGGCAAGCATCTAATATTGCAAGGATCTTCAGTCCCAATGGAAAAGATACTAGGCAGAGAGATTAACAAGCATTAAAATTAAAACAGAAGAAAAGTAGAAGATACAGAAATTATATCAACCTTAATCAGTTCTTTTGCAGTGGCATAAAACACACTCTCCTTAACTATTTGCATGTCTCCACCATGTGCTGTATATGAAATGACAGTATCAGCTGCTTTTTACCTGAAAGGGTCAAGCAGAAAGGCTGGTATACTTGCATACATTTCGGTACTTTTCACAGGTAGTGGGAAATTACATTACCTTGCAGGGTGCAGAGCCAGAAGCATTTGTTTGTGCAGCAGTGAGACTAGGTACTGCCTCCAGGCGCACTTTAGAAGGAGGAATTTGAAGATAATAGAAAAAGCAATGATCTTAGTCTCTAAGAGTCATCCTAAACTGCTTTCCTACGCAGCTTCTCTGCAATTGAGTATCTTCCTGCTGGCTTCTCTGTGTAGGCTGCACCTCGCACTCTTTCTAAAGAGGTGTAGATGCACTTCATCTGTCAACAAGGCACAGAACAAGCAATAGGAGATGCCTCCTCATTTAAGTGCAGAAAACTGGATGTATTAGGAGCAAGCAGAAATTAGATATTTGATTTAAATTTTTAACAAATCTTTACTTACTTATTGCTTATGATCAGATGTACCTTCAAAAGAAAATTGAAAACCACAGTTCAAAAATAACAAATTACTTAGGAACTCTTCCCTAAGTGAGCGTATTTCAATAGACATGCAATTCCCATAGCATCCAAGTGGAAGAGGCGGACTGTGCCAAGGGACAGTAAATCCTGTGCATCTGATTGCTTTGGGACACACAACTGGCTAAGACCACCAAGGCTTATTGACTCAGTGTAATTGTCAGTCGTATCGAAGCTACACTGTCTTGCACCATACCATGGTGGAAGTGATGCAGGCTGTATCTAAACAATGGTCCACTGCAGTGCAATTCAGGACTTCACAGGACTTGGGTCTAAGGCCAAACTCAGCATTGCTCACAGCTTCAGTTGCTGACACCATTAGTCTGGAAATTACCACAGAGCCAACTAGAGAAACGGCTGCACTGAAGGCATGCTCTCCTCCAACAAAGTTTAAGATTACATACGCCCCAAAACTGAAATACAGAAGTGAAAAATCACACTTTGGAATCACAGTTATAACAACTGCCTGATACCTATGTCTACTCACTTCCAGAGCAATTCATATAATAAACAACTAATCCTTGAAGACAAAAGCCCACATTTGATTTATCTCTTGCAGACAAGGCAAATATGAAAAAGCTGTAGTATCTAGCCATATAAATCTAAATTATCTTAATCTGTTTTCACTGTATGCAATGAAAAATGGAAGGAGAAAATAGTTTATAATATATAGAACAAGCACCAGATTCATTTTTCTAGCTTGTTTCAAAAAACTTCCTTATCCTGAGAAAAAGGGCTGTAAGGACATGCAAGAGATTAAAAGTAACAAAAACTGTCTTTAAAAGTTAGCGACAATTAACATTTGAGTCCTGGCATCACTAAAAATAGAAGCTCTACTACTACTAGTAATTAATTTGCTCTTTATTGTGATTTGGAGTTCAGACACTCTGGCACTATCACTTTCTATTGTACATTGCTTTTAAGGGAGAAGAAAATGTCACATATTGCTGCACTTAGTTGACTCTCACCCAAGAGTTAATGCAGAGCAACGCTGCAAGGAATTCTTGTTCAGCATGATGAAATCATCATCACTCACTCATAACCAGCTGCTTACAAAGACCTTTGCACTGTGGTTTCAGTGCACAGTTTGCAAACGTGAAGGAACACCTACAAGTGACAGTTCACA